TTATAGTTTTATTTTATGAACAGAACTATTTTTTAAAATAAACCTTCATTCGATTTTTCATTATCAGCAAGTCTGGTTAGTTTATGACAGTTTAATTTAATTATTTAAAAAATATATAATTGAATTTGAGGCATTTATAGTTTTATTTAATTAACAGAACTAATTTTTCTATTAGTAAACCTTCAATAGTCAATCAGAAGCATTCAAATGACACTATTGCCAAAATTAATTCTGAAAAACAAATCGTGCCTCCCTAAAGCCTGATTTACACGGGTCGAGTACGGCGGGCGAGTCAGTTTGCGAGTTGCCACTCGCTCTTTAACTCGCTTGGTGTAGACATGCAGGCGAGTCGAGCAACGGGCGAGTTGATAAAAAGAGGTCAGTTGAGAGCGAGTCGAGTGATTTAGTTGAAAACCGAGTTGCTCGGCCCAGTAGCTACCCCCACCACCACGATTTGTCCACAAAACATCTGTTTACTGCTCTCAAGTGAGTCCAGCGACCACAGAATAACAATTTTTTTTGTTATTTTGTGGTCGCTGACAAAGAGTTGATCACAACGATCAGTATTTTTGGGGTTAGTTCAGTAGTGTATGCCTAATCACCCTCAATACTAAATGGTTCAGCTGAACAGTTGGCCCTGTGTTGCATTGTCTTGCTGTTCGTAAATCTACTCACTCTTATAAAATTCAGTTTTCAAAATTGCTGTACAACTTAAGATCTGGAACGATTTTATTAATCAATGGGTTGTTAGAAAGCTCACTCCCTAAAAATGTTTTCTATCAGAAATACATTGAAAACAGTGTTTTCAAATTTTTGTTATTTGGAGGCAACTTTTGGTTGCCTATATATTTTATTTTAAAGAAATGCAGTACCTGTATAGTAATTTGTAACAAATCTTATTATTTTAGAATATCACCTTCCACTTTGGTCTATCGTATTGAAAAAAAAAAATACTTTTAAGCAACCCCTGCCTGAATAAATGGATGATTCAGTTTTAATTCTAATAATCTAATTCAGAGATTTAATTAATTTATAAATTCAGCATTAAACTCTTGAAAGTCCCATTTTAAACTCAAACAACATTTAACACGAAAGCTACGGTATACGGAATACCCTACACCACAGAACATAGAGAAATTATAAAAATTACTTCTCTGTGCCTACACTGTCATCGTTCGAAATAGGAATTTTAGGAATGCGTGTAGACAGTCTAGTCAAGTACCGGGCGAGTTGAACAAATCAACAACTGGGCCTAGTAACTGGGCCGAATAACTCGTCTGACATACTCGACCCGTAGGCGCCTTAAAATAAGAAAATAAATAGCAAAACCTAGAAATAATTAGAACACAGATGAAACCACTGTTGTTCGATAGTGAAAAGTATTGTGAATAACATATCAAAAGTCTCCAAAAATATATTTGGTGGAACATCGCCATTTTTCCAAAATGGCGGCCAAATCCAGTAGTTTTTTGCTTTTTATTGAAATTCTGACTTTCCAGTCAATATTGGTGAAAAGTCGTCAATACATTTAATGTTCCTACTGAAATTACCTTTAAAGTGATACCAAATACATGAACCTAAAAAAAAAATTTAACCCCGTAGAAATAATAAAATATTTCAAATAAAAATATTTGTTATAAATTAATGTAATAGTCCATAAGCAAACTAAAAATAACGTGCACAGGGATCGTATAAAAATTTGCAAGTAAACATTTTATGGTTTTATTTTTATTGTTGTAGTGTGCAGAGTGACATACCAAAAGTTGCAAAAATCAGTCCACGGGAAACCCCTAAATTAAGGAAAAAATTGTGGCTTTTCCCAATATTGGACAAATTTTGCAAAAAAAAGATATCACATGTTTTTTTGCACATTTTTCGAGATATTGACTTGGAACCACGACCGATATTTTTTTGGATGGTCCGTACTTAATTTCAATAGGGGACGCTTTTTGGGCCGCCATCTTGGATCAGCCATATTGGATCTGCCATATTGGATATAAATATTTTTTAATGTGATAATTATAGTGTGACACATCATTATGAACTAGTTTTCCACGGTTTTCCACGCTGATTTCAATGCTGAAATCAGTTTTTAAATAGCGTTTTACGATTTTAAGATATATAAAAACGAAAACTCTCCCCCATACATTTCTTATGGACGTTTCGTACTTTGACAATTTAAAAACACATTGAAAACTACCACAGCCAAAGGTTGTACCATTAGGTTCAAGTATGGCGTGGAAATAGTTCACCAGCAGATCCAACAGATTGGGAGTGGTGTTTGACCACATACAGTATGACTCAACAAACAATTGCAACATGGGGATCCTCATCTGCAAACAATATGGACAAACTACTTATCCTACAAAAGAAAGTACTACGGACGATATGCAGGACACACTATCTGGAACATTGTAGACCCCTATTCATCCAGCTCAAAATCCCCACCGTTTTCTCACAATACATCCTAGAAACCATAATCCTAGCAAAAAAATCCAATCCAACACTCCGGTCACATTATCACAATCACAACACCAGACACAAAAACAATATAAACCTGCCACAACACAGACTAAAAAAATTCAGCAACACCCCAACATACACAGGATCTAAATACATAAATCTTCTGCCAGAAAAAATTAAAAACATTTCAAATCATACCAAATTTGTAAAGACACTAAAAAACTACCTTATAAACAAACCATATTACTCAACAAAGGAATACATACAAGAACACACTTATACACACCTACACTGGGCTAGCTGAAAGGCTGCCAAGAAGATGAAGAAGGAGAAATTTTGACGACTCCCCGATCTGAGGATTGTGGTGAAGAAAGAAGAGGTAAAAGGTAAAAGGTGACTAACTTACTTATAAATAACTGTACTTATAAATAACTGTAACTGTGTAACTTGGAAATTATATTTAGATAAACATAGGATATGGCCTTTAAAAAATTTCAACAAAACGTTTTATGGTTTTATTTTGTAGTGTTGTGCAGAGTGAAAAAGGGAAATACTCGTCATAGCTATTCGTTCAAGTATTGACCTTTATTTTAGCTATAGATTCCTTTTGGGAGTTATTTAGAATTGGGGTTAAATGTCTTTAACTAAAGACAAATTTCAAAATAACAATAATTCATTCAATAGTTCATTGAAGACAGGCCTACATGATTCGTTTTAAATTTGTCACGTGTCATTTAATAATCAATTAAATTAAAGCCAAACATTTACTGAGTATACTTTGATACCAGAACGAACTTGTTAACATATTAACAACCCGAGATATAAATCTTTTAACAAAAACTGATGAAAAAAGTTAAATTTAATTTTGTGTTGGGGTTTGTACCTCGTCTATAACTAGTCTGTTTTAAACACATTTTCAAAGTACGATAGGTACGTCCATAAGTGATATATAGGGGAGAGTTTTCAATTTAAATCCATGTGTGTAGCCCCTGAGCTGTTGGACATAATGTAAGACTAAATTACTTACGTAATTCCCGTCACAGCTCAATAAAATATGTCTATTCAGGACATGTTTCGGTGTTAAAACACCATCGTCAGCTTCAGGTACATAGTGTAGAGTTGATCAGTTGTTAACATCGTCAGAAGATAAACACAGTACGGACACGAATAAATACATAAAACAATGAAACATTTAAAAACAGGCCTGTTCTAACAAAAAATGACCGACCGCACAGGTAGCAAGGGACAGACTAACTGTGGTAGCTAGTCTGTCCCTTGCTACCTGTGCGGTCGGTAATTTTTTGTTAGAACAGGCCTGTTTTTAAATGTTTCATTGTTTTATGTATTTATTCGTGTCCGTACTGTGTTTATCTTCTGACGATGTTAACAACTGATCAACTCTACACTATGTACCTGAAGCTGACGATGGTGTTTTAACACCGAAACATGTCCTGAATAGACATATTTTATTGAGCTGTGACGGAAATTACGTAAGTAATTTAGTCTTACATTAGGAGAGTTTTCGTTTTAATATATCTTAAGCAACGAAAAAACTTATTTAAAAACGGATTTCAGCATTGAAATCAGCGTGGAAATCTAGTTCATAATGATGGGTCACAACACTATAATTACATTAAAAAATATTTATATCCAATATGGCAGATCCAATATGGCTGATCCAAGATGGCGGCCCAAAAAGCGTCCCCTATTGAAATTAAGTACGGACCATCCTACAAATATGTACAAATATGGTCGTGGTTCCAAGTCAATATCTCGAAAAATGTGCAGAAAAACATGTGGTATCTTTTGTTGCAAAATTTGTCCAATATTGGGAAAAGCCGCCATTTTTTTCCTTAATTTAGGGGTTTCCCGTGGACTGATTTTTTGCAACTTTTGGTATGTCACCCTGCACACCACAACAATAAAAATAGAACCATAAAATGTTTACTAGCAAATTTTTATACGATCGTACGTTATTTTTATTTTGCTTATGGACTATTACATTAATTTATAACAAATATTTTTATGTGAAATATTTTATTATTTCTACGGGGTTTATTTTTTGTTGTAGGTACATGTATTTGGTATCATTTTAAAGGTAATTTCAGGAGGAACATTAAATGTATTGACGACTTTTCACCAATATTGACTGGAAAGTCAGAATTTCAATAAAAAGCAAACAACTACTGGATTTGGCCGCCATTTTGGAAAAATGGTGCTGTTCCACCAAAGATATTTTTGGAGACTTTTGATATGTTATTCACAATACTTTTTACTATCGAACAACAATGGTTTCATCTGTGTTCTAATTATTTCTAGGTCAAACCATATATTCAGGGGCCTACCGTGTAAACCAGGCTTAAGGGATGTGTAATCTATGGTTTCAGTTCGAGTTCAGTCAGCCCTAGTTCAGTCTAGTCGTTCTCTGGTTCGCTCTCGCTCTCATTCATTAACAACAGCAGCACACATCCACTCCACATCAAACAAGCCAAGCAGAAAACACACTCTCTTGTTGTCTTGTCTTGTCGTCCAGTCACTACACTTCACTTGTCCTATGTCCTCTTCTGAATTTTATAGGTTAGAAAATACATGATAATATATTTTTTTACCGGTATGGTGGTGGAAAGGGTCTTCTTAGTTGCCTTGTTCTAGTTTAATAGTGATGTAGATGTTAATTCATAATGAATGGGTCCTGGATCAATTCTTGGTATTACAGTTCAAAAGAAATAAGTTACAGAAAGTTAACTTGACTAGCCTACAAATAGATAAGTCAGTACCTAAGTGAAGTAAAATAAGTTAGCCTAGGCCTACTTAAGTTAGTAGGTGAAACAGAGTCTCTTCAAATGGCTGTATTTGGTTATCAAGTATTTGTAAATACTTACTGACCAATTGTTTATGACGCCATTTTCAATCTTGACGATTGCTTAATAAAGTATCTCTCTCTCTCTCTCTCTCTCTCTCTCTCTCTCTCTCTGTACTTTACTTTACGTGTCCTACCACCGTCCTACACTCATTTGAATGAAAATATCGATCGATATAGGCCTATCGATTAGGCCTAATCTAATGTCTGTGAAACTGCCAATAAACCAACATTAAGCTATGACGTCACCGTCAGATCAGTAGATCAAGAAGGCCGTGGCATCAAAACTTCCTAACCTCAATTTCATGTATCAAAACGTCCTAACCTCAAACACATGTTTCACGTGTCAAAACTTCCTAACCTCAAAAACATTTTATGTTTAAATCATACGTTTTGAGCAGTTTTAAAGTGTTTGTTTTACTAATGTACCATTTATATGTAACTGAGGTGTCTAAATAAAGTATATTAACCACAAATAACACTTGATTCTATACCATAATTGTATCACGCAATGTACTCCCACGTGCGAAGATAGTAAAAACCTGAGCTAGTAAAAACAAAAATCTTCAAAAACGGTTTATAAGATTTTGATAATTTTTATGTAGTATAATTATAAGTACTTAAGCAACCTGAGAAATAAATTGCATTCCCATACCATGCTTATGATGGTTTCTATAAGTGGTAGAAGTTGTGCCTGTTCATTTCAAGGCAACTGATTTGCCGATTTAGTTAAAAATGTATATCTCAAAAATCGTTTAAACAATTTTAATCATTCTTATGTAGTATGATCATCATGTTTTAAGCTACCTGAGAAATAAATTGCATTCCCATACCATTGTTATGATGGTTTCTATAAGAGGTAGAAGTTGGGCCTGTTCATTTCTAGGCTACTGACTTGCCGATTTAGTTAAAAATGTATATCTCAAAAATCGTTTAAACGATTTTAATCATTTTTATGTAGTATGATCATAATGTCTTAAGCTACCTGTAAAATAAATTGCATTCCCATACCATTCTTATGACGGTTTCTATAAGAGGTAGAAGTTGGGCCTGTTCATTCCTAGGTTACTGATTGGCCGATATAGTTAAAAATTTATATCTCGAAAACCTTTAACAAGATTTTAATAATTTTTATGTAGTAGGATCATAATGTCTTACTCTAACTGAGAAATAAATTGCATTTCCATACCATGGTTATGATGGAATCTATAAGAGGTAGAAGTTGGGCCTGTTCATTTCTAGGCTACTGACTTGCCGATTCAGTTAAAATTGTATATCTCAAAAATCGTTTAATTTATTTTAATAATTTTTATGTAGTATGATCATAATGTCTTAAGCTACCTGTAAAATAAATTGCATTCCCATACCATTCTTATGACGGTTTCTATAAGAGGTAGAAGTTGGGCCTGTTCATTCCTAGGTTACTGATTGGCCGATATAGTTAAAAATTTATATCTCGAAAACCTTTTACAAGATTTTAATAATTTTTATGTAGTAGGATCATAATGTCTTACTCTAACTGAGAAATAAATTGCATTTCCATACCATGGTTATGATGGAATCTATAAGAGGTAGAAGTTGGGCCTGTTCATTTCTAGGCTACTGACTTGCCGATTCAGTTAAAATTGTATATCTCAAAAATCGTTTAAACGATTTTAATCATTTTTATGTAGTATGATCATAATGTCTTAAGCTACCTGTAAAATAAATTGCATTCCCATACCATTCTTATGACGGTTTCTATAAGAGGTAGAAGTTGGGCCTGTTCATTCCTAGGTTACTGATTGGCCGATATAGTTAAAAATTTATATCTCGAAAACCTTTTACAAGATTTTAATAATTTTTATGTAGTAGGATCATAATGTCTTACTCTAACTGAGAAATAAATTGCATTTCCATACCATGGTTATGATGGAATCTATAAGAGGTAGAAGTTGGGCCTGTTCATTTCTAGGCTACTGACTTGCCGATTCAGTTAAAATTGTATATCTCAAAAATCGTTTAAACGATTTTAATCATTTTTATGTAGTATGATCATAATGTCTTAAGCTACCAGTAAAATAAATTGCATTCCCATACCATTCTTATGACGGTTTCTATAAGAGGTAGAAGTTGGGCCTGTTCATTCCTAGGTTACTGATTGGCCGATATAGTTAAAAATTTATATCTCGAAAACATTTACAAAATTTTAATAATTTTTATGTAGTAGGATCATAATGTCTTACTCTAACTGAGAAATAAATTGCATTTCCATACCATGGTGATGATGGAATCTATAAGAGGTAGAAGTTGGGCCTGTTCATTTCTAGGCTACTGACTTGCCGATTCAGTTAAAATTGTATATCTCAAAAATCGTTTAAACGATTTTAATCATTTTTATGTAGTATGATCATAATGTCTTAAGCTACCTGTAAAATAAATTGCATTCCCATACCATTCTTATGACGGTTTCTATAAGAGGTAGAAGTTGGGCCTGTTCAATCCCAGGTTACTGATTGGCCGATATAGTTAAAAATTTATATCTCGAAAACCGTTTACAAGATTTTTATGATTTTCATGTAGTAGGATCATAATGTCTTACTCTAACTGAGAAATAAATTGCATTTCCATACCATGGTTATGATGGAATCTATAAGTGGTAGAAGTTGTGCCTGTTCATTTCAAGGCATCTGATCTGCCGATTTAGTTAAAAATGTATATATCAAAAATCGTTTAAACAATTTTAATGATTTTTATGTAGTATGATCATCATGTTTTAAGCTACCTGAGAAATAAATTGCATTACCATACCATGGTTATGATGGGTTCTACAACAGGTAGAAGTTGGGCTAGTTCATTTCTAGGCTATACTGATTTGACGAATTAGTTAAAAATTTATATCTCAAAAACCGTTTACAACATATTGATGAATCTTATGTGGTATGATCATAATGTCATAAACTACCTGTGAATTAAATTGCATTACCATACCATGGTTATGATGGGTTCTACAACAGGTAGAAGTTGGGCTAGTTCATTTCTAGGCTACTGATTTGCCGATATAGTTAAAAATTTATATCTCGAAAACCGTTTACAAGATTTTTATGATTTTTATGTAGTAGGATCATAATGTCTTACTCTAACTGAGAAATAAATTGCATTTCCATACCATGGTTATGATGGAATCTATAAGTGGTAGAAGTTGTGCCTGTTCATTTCAAGGCATCTGATCTGCCGATTTAGTTAAAAATGTATATCTCAAAAATCGTTTAAACAATTTTAATGATTATTATGTAGTATGATCATCATGTTTTAAGCTACCTGAGAAATAAATTGCATTACCATACCATGGTTATGATGGGTTCTACAACAGGTAGAAGTTGGGCTAGTTCATTTCTAGGCTATACTGATTTGACGATTTAGTTAAAAATGTATATCTCAAAAACCGTTTACAACATATTGATGAATCTTATGTGGTATGATCATAATGTCATAAACTACCTGTGAAATAAATTGCATTACCATACCATGGTTATGATGGGTTCTACAACAGGTAGAAGTTGGGCTAGTTCATTTCTAGGCTACTGATTTGCCGATATAGTTAAAAATTTATATCTCGAAAACCGTTTACAAGATTTTAATGAATCTTATGTGGTATGATCATAATGTCATAAAGTACTTGTGAAATAAATTTCATTTCCATACCATGGTTATGGTGGTTTGTATAAGAGGTAGAAGTTGGGCCTGTTCATTGTTAGGTTACTGATTGACCGATTAAGATAAAAATTTATATCTCAAAAACCGTTTACACGATTTTAATGAATCTTATGTGGTATGATCATAATGTCATAAGCTACCTGTGAAATAAATTGCATTCCCATACCATGATTATGATGGGTTCTATAACAGGTAGAACCCATTCAATGCTTATGATGGTTTCTGTATGATGTGGTAGAAGTTAGGGCTGCACCTTACTCTGCTACCGATTTTTCAGATAAAAAAAAATATATTTCAAATTTATCACCATAATTTTACCACTGGGTAATTTTTTTTTCTTTTTCTGTAGACTTTACATTAAATGTTACATTGACTATTTATTTGTTTTATTGCAGCCTCCTCCTCCCCTTATAGCTGCTCCTTACCTCGCCATAATTTTTACCACTGGGTCAATTTATCTTAAGTAAGGTAATATATTTTTAAGAATGGTGTATCATTTTGTTTAGGCTTTTAATTATATGTTACATTGTCAATTTTAATTTTTTTTATTGCAGCCTCCTCCTCCCCTTATAGCTGCTCCTTACCTCGCCGTAGTTTATACCCTTACCACTGTTTCATTTAGACTGTAGGCCAATGTTGGATGTGAAAACCTTGAGGATGATTTTAGTAAATATTAGTAAGAATTTAACAGTGTTCTCATGTGGTTTGTAATGTAATAATGATAATCACTGTTTTATTTAAATATAAATTTTACAGCCTATACTTTTTAAAGACTATTAGAGACAGTGAATGAAGGCAACCTATTACTCTTATTTTTGTTGTTGTAAATATTTAGTTTGGTAGTACCTGCATAAAATACAAAAGAAATCTATGTGTTTTAACACTTGAGTAGAACTTGGCACATCAGGTGGTAAGCAATTTCCACCACCTTTCTTACTAGTGTTAAACCATCTTTTACAAGCAGTACATTCAACGCAAAAGTCATTTTGGTTTCTTGGTGAGTCGGGAAATTGTCCATTGCAAATGTAACATGTATTAACCATATAGCCTGAATAGCTAAGGAGCTTTTTGAATAACAATATTCTATGTTGATCTGCATCAAACATCAAGTCTATTAAACCATTTGTTTTTAATTGTTCTATGAAATACAAAATGAATACACCACAATTGTAACTGTCAGTTTGAACAGGATGTCTTAAATGGCCATGTTGCCATGATTTGACTATGTCATCAAAGTCAGTGTTGGTTATGTTTGAGTAAAATTTTAGAAAGTTGTTAAATATATACTTTTTTCTGTTAGGATTGACAAAATCTGATGAAGGATCAATAAGGTAAAATGTATGGTCCTTCACGTTTGCATAGCCTAAAACCCAGTGCACGTTATCAATGTTCAATGGGAAAAATAGCTGTTCTGCAACAGAAATATCTACAATTGATTTTGTAAGCAACCAGTGGTTAGGTTTGATATCTTCTCCTTGGACAAGACTTAATGTTGCAACATTGTCATGAACTATTGAACTGTTATGGTTGTCTTTTCCCATGAGTATAAGCCCTACAGCCTCTATGACACAGTTGTCCAGCCAAGATTTGCCCCGTAACAGTTCAATATCATTAATGTACAAGCAACACTTTGAGTTGTTCCGACCTTCGATGGAACAAACAGTGTAATTTTTCCTCTGTGGTAATTGAGTATAATAGTTAGGGTCAGAAATCAAGCCATTATCTAAAATCAGATTTGTTATCGTTAATTGGTGTTCATGTGTCATAACGTAAGGTTTTTGAACATGATTTTGCAAGTACTTAGATTGGAAATAGCTTGGGCGAGTTATCTTAGAGGGGTTTTCCCAAGACTCCTCGACAACATCCATGTCTTAATCTGACAGCAAAAGCATTCCAGTTTTATTGTTATCAGGTACTGTCTGTGCTTTAGAATTTTTCTTAGATTTAGTACTCAATTTCAAATGTCTTTTAACCACATTATTCCTCGGTTTACGAACACAGCAACCTTCCTTAGGTATGTTTAGTGTGATTTCTTTGCAACGGGCCTCAATAACCCTTCTTACCATCACCATCCTAATAAACCTGTTAGCTCTGAGATTAGTTTGTCCCTTTAAAATTACATTTTTAACCATACCAAACCAACTTTCAACCGGGGCATTGCTTAATCTCTTTAATGCTGTAACATTAACTTTGCTTTTTAACATAATGGCAGACCACAGTGGTAAAATACCCCCGCCGCAGCATACCTGCAGACTAAGCGAATTTCCATATGTCTGATTGGATTTACACTAAAATGTCTACTTAAAAATTTAACATTTATTTCCTATTTAAATAGAATTATTTTAACAGGTACTTAGGTTTGCTGCATCAGGGAGGGTAAACCTTTTTTAGTAAAATGTTAATAGTTAGTAAGAAATAAAAACATTTTCCAAATTTGGTCAGACAAATTTGAGTAAGACATTATGATCCTATTACAAAAAAATCATCAAAATCTTGTAAACGGTTTTCGAGATATAAATTTTTAACTATATCGGCCAATAAGTAGCCTAGAAATGAACTAGCCCAACTTCTACCTGTTGTAGAACCCATCATAACCATGGTATGGTAATGCAATTTATTTCACAGGTAGATTATGACATTATGATCATACCACATAAGATTCATCAATATGTTGTAAACGGTTTTCGAGATATAAATTTTTAACTAATTCGTCAAATCAGTATAGCCTAGAAATGAACTAGCCCAACTTCTACCTGTTGTAGAACCCATCATAACCATGGTATGGTAATGCAATTTATTTCTCAGGTAGCTTAAAACATGATGATCATACTACATAAAAATCATTAAAATTGTTTAAACGATTTTTGATATATACATTTTTAACTAAATCGGCAGATCAGATGCCTTGAAATGAACAGGCACAACTTCTACCACTTATAGATTCCATCATAACCATGGTATGGAAATGTAATTTATTTCTCAGTTAGAGTAAGACATTATAATCATACTACATAAAAATCATAAAAATCTTGTATACGGTTTTCGAGATATAAATTTTTAACTATATCGGCAAATCAGTAGCCTAGAAATGAACTAGCCCAACTTCTACCTGTTGTAGAACCCATCATAACCATGGTATGGTAATGCAAATTATTTCACAGGTAGTTTATAACATTATGATCATACCACATAAGATTCATCAATATGTTGTAAACGGTTTTTGAGATATAAATTTTTAACTAATTCGTCAAATCAGTATAGCCTAGAAATGAACTACTGTAGCCCAACTTCTACCTGTTGTAGAACCCATCATAACCATGGTATGGTAATGCAATTTATTTCTCAGTTAGAGTAGGACATTATGATCCTACTACATAAAAATCATAAAAATCTTGTAAACGGTTTTCGAGATATAAATTTTTAACTATATCGGCCAATCAGTAACCTAGGAATGAACAGGCCCAACTTCTACCTCTTATAGAAACCGTCATAAGAATGGTATGGGAATGCAAATTATTTTACAGGTAGCTTAAGACATTATGATCATACTACATAAAAATGATTAAAATCGTTTAAACGATTTTTGAGATATACAATTTTAACTGAATCGACAAGTCAGTAGCCTAGAAATGAACAGGCCCAACTTCTACCTCTTATAGAAACCATCATAACAATGGTATGGGAATGCAATTTATTTCTCAGGTAGCTTAAAACATGATGATCATACTACATAAAAATCTATAAAATTGTTTAAACGATTTTTGAGATATACATTTTTAACTAAATCGGCAAGTCAGTAGCCTAGAAATGAACAGGCCCAACTTCTACCTCTTATAGAAACCATCATAACAATGGTATGGGAATGCAATTTATTTCTCAGGTAGCTTAAAACATGATGATCATACTACATAAAAATCAATAAAATTGTTTAAACGATTTTTGAGATATACATTTTTAACTAAATCGGCAGATCAGTTGCCTTGAAATGAACAGGCACAACTTCTACCACTTATAGATTCCATCATAACCATGGTATGGTAATGCAATTTATTTCACAGGTAGCTTAAGACATCATGATCATACTACATATAAATCATTAAAATCGTAAACGATTTTTGAGATATAATGTTTATACAAAATGTAAAAATAGTTGTCTTAAGTTATAAGTGACAGGTTCAAATTCTTCATCTAATAGATTCCATCATAACCATGGTATGGGATTGCAAATTATTTCTCAGGTTGCTTAAATACTTATAATCATACTACATAAAAATTACCAAAATCGTATAAACCGTTTTTGCAGAATATTGTTTTTACTAGCTCAGGTTTTTATACTATCTTTGCACGTGTGAGTACATTGCGAGATACAATTATGGTATAGAAACAAGTGTTATTAGTGGTTATTATACTTCATTTAATCACCTCAGTTATAAACAATTTGTATTTTTGTATAAAAAACACTCTGAAACTGCCTAAAAGGTATATGTTTTACATTTTATAGTGAAAAACGCATTTTGAGGTTAGGAAGTTTTTCAGCCACGGCCTTCTTGATCTACTGATCTGACGCTGACGTCATAGCTTAATGCTGGTTTATTGGCAGTTTTACGTGCATCCTAATCTATATCTAATATCGTTTTAAAATATATCAGCCGTAATTTAAGTTAGCTTATCTGAAATTTGTAAATAATTAAAAAATATCTTAACGATTTAATAGGATAAAAAAACCAAATACCAAATTGGTAAAATTAAGTTATAACTTATAGCATCATTCTAGATATAACTTTCTAAACGTACATGAAATCTTCCAGGATATAATTGTTTCACAGCTTTAACGAAGAAAAAGAAAGGGTCTTCCTTAGAAATCTTTACATCCCTATGATACAGATAACTTATTCAGCAAAATGATACGATAAATTTTCTCCTTATATGCCAGTTCCCAATGATTTTTTGAGATAAAATACTCTGACTAAATTCTCGATAATTCATGGTGAAGTTCTTTAAAAATGAGTTAGCCTATAGGCTAGGCCTACAAACAAAAACAATGAAATAATCGATATATCGATCGCTATTTTCATTCGAATGAGTGTAGGACGTAAAGTAAAGTGCAGCCCTTCAAATTTACTAGAAGATTTCTATGGTATTTAACTTAGGCCTACACATTAACTTATCTACAATTGAGAACTGAACAGAAAACGTTTCTACCTAATTTTCCAACTTTTAAGTAGGTAATACTAAAGTTAATATTGTTGGAGCCTAGACTGTTTATTCATTATTTTCAACTAAGATAACAGTTATTTTCAGGTGACCAATATGATACTGCTCTAAAAATGGACCGGGGAAAATCTAGTTCAGGAGGAAGAGGAGGAAAGAGTAAAGCTCCACAGCATCCTTGGGAAGTATATGCGTTAGGAGCAAAAGCAGGAAATGAACCAACAAAACGTTCAGTGCCAGTGCCTCATAGCAAGCCCGGAACAAGTCACACATTGTCTGGTTGGTGTTCTGAGAATTTATTTTTATTTTTAAGGTAAACTAGGGTTAGATAACTTACCTACTGTTCCATAACCCTTAAGAGGGCGCTTGTGGAGTTTAGCTCAAAGTAGATTTTGTCCACAAAAAAAACTACAGTTTAAGTAATGTACTTAATTAAGTTAGTGTCGCCTAGTCCAGAACTACTTCTGTTAATGTGCCCAGGCCTAGGGGGCGTAAGTGGTTTTAGGTTTTTTTTGGGGGCACAAGGAAGATAAAATTTCCCCAGAGTATACTGTAGGTGTTTACTTTCTACTTTCTACTAAATGCTACTTTCTCTTTTGTAGGTGATAGAAAAAGAGAAGGAGTTGTGCCGCCGTCGGCACTGTTGCCGCCCAAGAAAGCCAAGCTCGCCCACAGTTCCACAGTAGTGTCTGGAGGAATCGTACGCAGCTCTTCTGTTCCCTCCCAGGACAACTCAGACGCCTGGGAAAATTTCGCTTTGGATTTTGATCCAGCAGATTTCATTACGCTTATCAGTGACGCCTCGACTGCAAACGACCATGATAAAGTGGTAGGTGACTGATTTAAAGAACTATTTTTTAGCTACAAAACATTCGTTTTAACCATAATTTATGTTTTGCATGAGAAATTTAAATCTTAATTCACATTTTATTTTCAGAAAAAACTGTAGGTAATAATTCAAATTTTTGAAAAAAAGGAACAAACTCTTACACTTTATGAAGTTATTTGCGTGGGATAGGTAACTACTTGACCTGGGAGGAGGAAAGATGCGGAGAAACAATCAGTCATCCTGTGCGTAGTAAAGAGGTTGTTATAAACGGGGTGAAAGTAGACGGTTTGTATGGTGAAAACATACGATATTGTGTGGCTTAAACTTAGTGACCGACTTTTGATAAATTATCTTGTTGAAATAATTAGCGAATCTTGGTTGGAAGAAAATAATATGAATTATTCGTTTAACACTAAACCTTCACTTTATCTGCCTTAAAAACAAGGCACAATAATTACATCAAACATCATAGTACAAAAATAAAACAAATCTATACAGCACTTGTAAACTGTTTTTTTTCTCTTATAGACTAATTCTCCAGTGTTTTGTTCATAGGTTGGCTACATCTGTGGAGCCATAAAAACACTGAAGCAGCAAAGGTTTAAACCAGACGCCAGTCTGATTCAGAGCCTTATATACTTGAGTAAGATCAAAAGTTTAGTGTTCACCAATGAGTATATCATGAGTGCGCTGTGTTCTGTGCTGCGGAGGGATCCTAACCTCGCTTTCAAGACCAAGAGTCCAGTGTTACCAGTGTTGGCTACCAACCTGCTAATGAGAGCCTACCAGGACAGTCGACGTTGGCCTGATGTGTTTGTCAAGGTTAGTAGTCATTTCACGCAAAACTAAAATAACCCAGTCAGGGCTAATAATCATAAAGTATAATTGCATAACTGTAACAACAACTTTTTCAAGACAATATAAATAATATCACTAAACTAACACAGCAATGGTCCGACAGACAAAATTACAGATTGCAGATTGCTAGGTTAGATTTATACGCATAGATATATTAGATTAGGCCTACTTATTCTGAATCCTGTTTGGCTCATAATTTTCTCTTTGTAAAAATTTGCCGTTTTCCCTGCGAAGATAGCAAAAGGCCACTAAACTTCCAAAACAGTCACAATGTTGAGTTAAATTTAACCATACACGCGAGACATCTTTATAGCCCCTGTGTGGGGATGAGAATAATTAATAACCTTAAACCTGTTAACCGATGGTAACTAGTTTGATATATACATAAATAGTAATGGGTCGGTTGCTGGTTTTATCGGTTCGGTTTTGGTTTTGGTTTTTTTAAATCAGTTGTCGGTTTTCGGTTTCCCCCTTAAATCACTTTTTTAAATACTATTGATCCCCCAGCAAAAGAGGACGGTCCGGGGGTTCCCCCTAAATAAAAAATTGAATATGACGGGCTTAAATGAGCGATTTTCAAACTATTTTGAGATATATAAAATTAAATGTAGGCTACCTAGGTTAGTACAAGCTTCACAGTTTATTTCAAGGTTCAAGAATTAAAAAATAAATAAACTTGAATAATGTGAAGTTTTTGCATTTTTGAGACTTGTGGAATTGATCAGTAACAGACGCCGCTAACCCAACGAAGTTTAAGTCCACACTGCAGTACAGTAGGTACGTCCGTTATCTTATCACCTCAGGTTGCGTTCCTGCCTATCATACTTCCCTTCTTCAGTACAATTAACAAACTAAAATCTTGTTTAGTTTTAACTCAGTGCCTTTGACTTATAGGATTATTAAGATCATAAAAATATATTCTTTAAGATGAATCACAATGTTACAAGTTTTTATGCTGGTTAAATAAATATTAAAAATGTTGCCACTTACCCATCGCCACAGAAAGAAATAGAGACTGATACAGGTATTTTTGTGTAGAGTATTTACCTGATTTAATTTGGAATCCTATAGAGATGAACTGGATGAGTTGTTCTCTGTCAGTTTGCTCAGAAGTTATAAGGTTGAAAGATGATTCTTGTAGCTTGTCTAGAACAAAAAACTCGTTAAGTGAGGATTATGTTTGATCAATAATTAGTATTAGAGCTGTAGTTATTGTAGGGACTAGTCATTAGGGATATTTTCCTATTGATATACGTAATTCTTTATTGCCAAGTTCAATTTTACCTGTCTTTAGGTAAACACAATAAATGAGTAATTATTTCTTAAGAAAGAACTTTGCTTTTGGGTTCACCCATTTACTATTGATGGCTGTGTTTTTAATTAGGCCTACACTACTGTTAGCTGTAGAAATTTAGATTTCATATATGTTTACTGATTGATTATCTGTAAAGTTTTTACTTTTTTTAACACATTTAGGCCTATTTCTGTCTAGAAGTAACATTCCTTACACACCAACTCTACCAAAATGAACATGGAAAGCTACCTGTTGTAGGGTTGTGTCCAAAGTTTCCTTTTCATTCTTCTGACTCAATTCAGAGTGATAAGGCCATAAATCTGCAGCCATGTAGAAATAAATATTTTGTTGAAGCAGAGTGTGAACTGTGTGAGTCGCCTCGTCTGACACCTAGAACATTTCTGGTCCACCCACAAGGAGTGAACAAACTACTATTCTGAGGTGTAATGGGTCTCGAAGTATGTTGACCAGGCTCGTAAGCGGGTAACTCCTTCACCCAACTATGTGTGTCACGGTGACAGATGTCACAGGGAGGGATGTAGGGAGGTTGCAAGGTGGTCTGAAGACTACGGGCCAAGACAAGCGAGTCGCAAAATAACATGTGAAGAAAATTAGAGAATATTTATAGAGTAACTAGGTCAGAAGTTTTCAGGGATATGAGATGATTGCATTGAAAACGTTTAGGCTTTGTCAGATAAAGTAACCGCATGGGACAGGGCCGACACGTCACAAGTCTCCAATGAGCCTTATAAAAGACTCTAAGAGGAAACCGGCAAAATGTCCTTTGGACCACCCTGGTGTAGTTTGTATGTGTGTCGAGAGTCCTTCGAAGATTTTTGAACAGTTGCTAAAAGGTAGCTAACATGGCTGCAAGCTGTACGTCTCCTCCCAAACAATCTGAAACACAAGATAAAAAGAAACATTAGAGTCTTGTTTTCAATTAGATAACACTTAGTGAAACACACACTAGTCTAGGTACTTATTTTATTTCAAAGTATTATATGTCAATAAAAGTACCTAACAAGTATTATTAAGGAGTTACAAATATGTAAGTATTTTCCTTATAAATAAGGAATTTTTTTACATAATTTCTCCCACTTGGATAAGCTAAATACTTGCTGAGGCAAAGTTGTTGTGAAAAGGATGTACAGTTTCAATGAAAACAAACGTTAAATTGATAAATGTTATTAATAAATTTGTACTGCTCCTTCATAAGATTTCGTGCCATTGAACAACTAAAAGCAGTAATATTGTGTACTTCATTATATTGTTTTAAATCTTTGGATAAATATAAGAAAACACTATTATTTCTTTGATGGAATTAAGATGGGTGAGTGTGGGTAGAAGTTGTATGAATGGTTTCCAAGTCCCAGTGCTTTTCACAGTATTATTAAATACCCTTAAATACCCTTTTTACTAGTTTTTTTATCATGTATTATTATTATTACTTTCTTCTTCTTTTTTTATAGATTTGTCTCTATCTTTACACTTTTCAGATATTTCCAATTTCCATAATACTTTCGTTATCTGCTGTAGCTTCCTTGTAAAATTGTTTTTTTTCCTTTTTGGTAAATGTGTATGGATGGTCTGATAATAACTCGTTCCCCACGCACAGGCTTCGCCTATGTGGGGAAGTTCCATTATTATTAAGAATACTGTTTTGTAATATTTGTTTATAATGGAATAAATGATGTTTGATTTGATTTTTTTTTTAGATTTAAAAATATTTTCTTAAAACAGGGATCCTAGATTTCAATTTGACAACATACATCTTGATGTGTTTAATCTTGTAATATCGATAAGGACGCCACCTATGTGCATATTTTAACCCAAAGAGTTTAAAGTTAGTGTTCCCGTGTTTGTTTTGTAGGTAGTTATTTTAACTCTGACTACCATTATCTTGTGAGGTTAAACCTCATAACCAACATTTACTGGAAATATTTTGTTTATCCCTCGATTATTTTTCAAAACTTGTCTCATTTAATTATTTATTGCTTGTGAAAAAAAGGATTTAAGTATATACAAAACATGAGGACCATCCTATTCAATATAAAAATAACATTTACAATTCAACCAGCTAGTAAATGATTCTTAAAATTGTTATTTTATGTTAGGCACATTAGCTTTAAAGCAATGAAGTAATAATAGGTACCTTCTAATAATTTTTGCATCATAAAATTGGTCTATAAATAACTAAACTGGCTTATCTTGGTTTTATTGCTGTTTTCTTTCATCCGAGACACTGAGCTACTTAAAAACTAGTTAGAAAGTATTAAAAAACTTGTAACATTGTGTTAATTTAATTCAACATCATTTTCATTTTGGAAATATATTATAACAGTATTAAAGATGTTAAACAAGTTGTTTTTATTAGCAACACATTTCTCATCGTATCGTTTTTATTAGCAACACATTTCTCATCGGATCTCAGTTAAATCATAGACTATTTGACTATTGGATACTGAAGGTTAAATCTATAGCTGTACATTCAAAATAAAATCTGCCTATTAAAAGTATTGACTAAAGTACCCTATTTTTTTTTATGTAAACAAACAAAAAAATAAAACATATGGTTTTCAAAAATAAATCAAAACCTTTTAGCTATTTATAAGGAAGTACAATTTAAAACTCAATATTTTTGATTCACTATAAATATAGATATATCTTCAGAACTTACTTATAGTAGGTTTCAAAATTTATTGATTTCAGTGTTGATGAAATGCAGTGCTAACTACATTCCTTCATGTAACTTTGAAACGTGTTCTTGTTTGCAAGTTTAGTGATTTTTAGAGCTCGGAACTATGAAATCATGAAACAACCAATAGTGTTAAAAAATAAACCTAAAACAGAGCATAAGGTAATTGTTTTTCCTTATGATTTTATTTGACGTTTTGTACATCTTTTTACATTTAACCCTTTGAGTGCCAACGTCCGGGGAACCGGACGTTAACCGGACGTTTTTAAAACGAGCCAAAAGTGCCGACGTCCGGCCGACCGGACGTTTTTAGAACGAGCCAAAAGTGCCAACGTCCGGCTGACCGGACGTTTCGTAATGATCGAACAGTTGTCATAACAACCGAATGGATACTCGGATTCTTTTAACCCATATATTAACATTGAGTCGAAAGTTACTAGATGCGATACATCGATTTTCGTTGGTCGAAATATCGAAAATTCGATTTTTACGAAACTTTAACCTAAAAATCGCCAGATCGCGCTCGGCATTTTTAGCGCGACCTTCGGGAAAAATCATCGGCATTTTTTGAGCGTTACTTTTATTTCTCGCCTGGCACTCTAAGGGTTAATTTCAACTTAAATAATGTAGGATTTCCTATATGAAACAGAAAAAAACATTTGAAATCATACTTATTATGGCTAATCAAAATACTACCATAGAAATGGGACGAGTTTAACAAATAAAAGCTAAGCTAGAAATTCAATTAAGATACTTTTAATCATATCCAAAATAATCTAGGCCTACTTGTTCTCATAATCAATTCATAAAAAGGTATGGATATGATCAAACTTATCTACATGTTTCTAAATTATAGTTTTACTCTTCAATTTCTTATTATATATATATTTTTTTTTTTTTTTTTTTTTTAAAGAGGTTGGCGGCCTCTTACTCACGATACAGAGAGCTTGTCACTTGTTTGAAGTTCATTTCAATTATGAGTTTTGTTGCTAGGTAACTTATTTATGATTCTTTGTTCAAAAGTTATTTCTGCTATGTTTTGTTGTAACCAAGGTGAAGTAAAATGTTAAACAAAGTATTTTCTTGATCGCAAGGGCGGTCCCAGGGGACCCCACCTCAAAAATATTTTTTTAATGATATTTAGGTAGTGTTGTTGCCAGTAAATGTTATAGCTTAAGTATGAAATAAATAAAATTGCCAAATTTGATTAAAATATATCCATAAACAAGCAAAAACTACAACAGTCTCCACAAGAATAACATGGGAATTTAAAATTTACAATTATTTTAATTATCTCCGTAACCGTTAGGCTACAACAGCGCTTCAATGTACAAAAAAAATTCTTTTTTTAAGCTCTACAAAATGGTTTGGATAGAAATTGTGAAATTTTGTGTTTTTAAGGTCAAAAATGGGAAAAACCTATTTTTACCCCATAAAAGCCCTCATAAACCCCCGTTCCTATAGTCCGATCATGCTGTTTTGGGAGCTCGTTTGAATAAACGTAGTAGGTTTATAGATTTGTACCAAATTTCATTTCAATCGGATTATTTTTGCTCAAGTTTTCGTGCTAACGGACACACACACACACATAATATATATATATGAATTTTAACGGAGGTTGTTTTTGGCCTCTGGGGATTTAAAAACAAATAGTAAATCGGTCCTGGGTCTAGGTCTTACCATGAGACCTACAGTAATAGATTATTCCCTATATGGGAAATTTGATGAAAACAAAAAACTTAACTTATTTAAACCTAAAAAATCAACATTATAAGATAAAGGTACAGAAAATGCAACTACATTATTTGAGACCAAGTAGACCGGCATAACGATAAAAATATACCAACAGCAATGCTTGTGGTTTTGCCAATTGGAAGATAAAATAGCCATAACACATAGTTACTAGTTAAATATAAAGAATGAACAATTGTATGGCAGTAGACAATGGCCAGCCGTAAATTGAATGTTCACAACAAAAATACTGTTTGAGCAATCAGAAGCAAAATTTAATAAACATCATAAAACTATTATTTCCTATGATAAAATGAGTTTTGGATTTCATAATTACCCGAATAATTAATATTGGAAATCGTAAAGGAATATCAGTGAGTACCGGTAACAATCAAAGTAATAAAACTTTTATGAGCTTAACTATTGACTCAACAAGTTCTTGGAAGTACTTAACTTGATGGGAGTAGACAAAAAATGATTATTGTCATGATAAAATATTGGTGGGTTTGGGACTGCTAATGGGGTTTTTATTGCATCATTAACCTTTTATGCCCTTCTTCCTCACCAACTACCACGATGGGCAAAATGATTATACAATAACCAATAAAAAGAAACTGACTTTTTATGTCAATTCTCAGTTCGGAGTTTATTGCTAAAAACTGGAAAGGCCTTCCCACTATCAACATCAGCTCAATTTCTTTGAGATTCTCGTATGATATTAAATAGAAGTTATTATATTGTATTTAAGCAAGTGTTGATTTTTTAAATGTTTGTTTTCAGCTTTACATAGAAGACTCACTAGGTGAACGCCTGTGGGTTGATCAGGAGAACTGTAAGGGGTTTGTAGACAATGTGCTGACGGCCTTCAGTACGAAGGCTGCTCCAGCAGAGTCCAGGCCGGAGCTCGCTGATGATCCGGAGTCTATAGCTTTGACAGGACCTTCGTCAACCATCGCTAAAGAGATCCTCGAGTTCATCCCCGTCATCAACAGGTAAACAGATATCTTTTATGTCAAGGGAAGTGATTTTCTCTTGCGTCTTTTGATTTGATTTGATTTTCTCCACACACACTGGTCTAATTCATAAAAACATTGAATGATTCTTGATAAAACAAAAAATTTTGATGTTTCTGTATAGATTTTCAATGAATCAAGATAGTGTGGAGGCCACTGTGGTGGAGATAGTGAAGGAGAATCTGAATCGTCGACAGGCTCCAGATAACATCACCCGTAACTTCCTCAAACTCTTGGCCTCGGCTGCAGGTCTTGTAGAGGTGAGATGATCCTTTGTTGACATTACTAGCTTGCATGTGCCAAAAACTCTGATTTAACATGCATAAATACTAGAGTAAACTCATAGTCGGCTAAGGACCAAGTATTAAGGGTCATTTAACAGCCATGGCGAGAGATGGGAAATAATGTTACTTTGCAATGACGTCAGGAACGTTCCATGGCTTTTTCTGTAATAGGTGAAAATAATCCTATTATTTTATCTATTACTTACTTGTCCAGGACTTTTATTTCTCATAGTTATATCATTAGTTTGTTTTAACAATTCAGACGAAGTTACACAAATAATTGTATTCTCAGTAATCTCTAACAATGTTACTATATTATTTTGTGATGCTCACCATTAGGAAGACACAACCAGCATTATTTCACTTGCTCCTTCTAACAGTTCATATGACATTATTAAAATAATCAAATTTTCTCAGTAATCTATTATCTAATAGATAACACTTAAGTAACTACGCTAAATAACACCCACCTATAGCCGTGACTGATAATAATAGACCTCAGCAATGAAGTCCACAAGATTAGAGGTTGAATACTTTTTGTAATGACTTTACTTTAAAGCTGTGGCTTTGGAATAATTTTTAAATGACTGACCCTTTTAATTGGACCAATAACCTTGTGTAGAAGATTATATTATAAAGATAGATATTAGTTTTTGGAACAATACAATATATTTAGGAGGAAGGCATGGAAACTTGGAAACAAAACTAACTAGCTTAAGAAAAGATCTCCAGGCAGTTGAGAGCATACAAAAATTTCACAAATTGATATTTCACCACTACAAGGGGTTTCTGTAGTAGAATGGCAGTTACAAAACTAGCACTGTTTGTTTTGGCAAGACTGTTTTAGTCTCTTCAAACTGTGAGAGTTGCATAGCTGCCATTCTACTTCTTAAAATAGCTAACTCCATACCTTTTCAAAAATTTGTTATCAACAACTAGGGTTTAAAATGTAATCACTAAATAAACTCTTTGACGACAACAGCTGAGTTAATGTCTGTTTTGTCAGGTGAGAATGATGTCAGCCACCAGACTGGAAGTGTGGCTACAGAATCCCAAACTGCTGAGGTCTGCGCAGGAACTGCTCATGGCTGTCTGCGTCAACTGTACAGGACACACGCAGAAGGACGTGGAGGTGATCAGTGCATTGGTCAAGATCAGACTGAAGAGCAAAGTGGTCGTCAACTACTACCTTGCTTGTATCAGGTACATTCACAAGTTAAAGAAAGAAATCTCTATTCATAGTTCAAAAAAATTTGTGATGGTTTATATTATTTGTGGAATCATTGCGGGCATGTTCCATCATGCTCGGGAAAATCAAGTTTTCTCAACAATTTGGTATCTAATAGACCTCATCATCAGGTGAAAAAGTACCGAAAACATACCAAGAATAAACTCGGCATAAGCTGGAAACTTGTAGAATTGTATAGTAGTCAAGACTCAGGGCTATAAACAAAAACAATCCTAAAAAAACTTTTATCATTACAAACATTTGCTAGGCGAACATGATGGATATTTCTGCACAAGATGGTGGCTCAAACAAGGCAAAGGTTATGTGTTGGTTCACCAACTAATGTCTTCCACCCGAAACAGATCCCCAAATAACATAAACTTTTATTTAGTAATTTGTTTGGAAAATAGAAAGTAAAAAGCTCTCATCAAACAAGGCTTGAACAACATAACTCTTTCTTACTCATACACTAGGATATAGATAAATGATTTAAATTAAAAGAACATCTTTCATTAGGATTTGGACTATCAAATTTTGTTGGGACTAGTAAAAGAATTGGCACTGTCAAAAATACAATTTTTTTGTTAAGTTTAGAGGTTAAGAGCAACCATTATGATTGAACAACTGTCCTGGAAAGTTTTCATCATATTTTAGGTACTTTTATGATGACATCATCATCCAATCTAAATATCTAAATGCCAATGCCACACAGGTCATTAAACAAAGTGGAATTTTAGTTTGTAAACAGTTATGTTTGTTTATCAATTTAAAAAATTTTTTTACTCAATTAAAATTGTTAATTTATTTTTAGGGAACTGATTATAGCCCATTCTGACAACCTGGCCACAGTGTTGAAGCACACGATTTACAATGAACTGTCACAGTCTCGCAACCCCAACAACCTTGCGATGCTCTCTGTGATGTTTCAGTACGAAGCTGACACAGCAGCCACTATTCTGGCTGATATTTTCCAGGTTTGTCACAATTGTCATAACTAAGATGTAACTGAATTGTACTCAGTCTAACTAGCTCAAACTAACTTTATGAAATACTGTATGGTATGTGTCAATTTTTGAAAACTCAATAACAAACTCTTTAGTTATTTTGAAACGACAATCAAGCTTTTTTTGTACAACTAACACAGTAACAAAATCTAAAGGAAAAAATATAACTTTAACAGCAACTTACTCTAAGGGTGGCTCATACATAATATCTTCCATTTGAATACAAAATATCTTCTATTTGAATACAAGAAACTCCACAGCTGGTCCATATAGGTAGGTCCACTCTGGTACGTTTTTGCTCTGTATGCTTTAACTTGTTCACTCTATAATAAAACTCATCTCTGCAGGAGTTACTGCTCAACCGAGACGACTACCTGCGTCCCCTACGAGCGCTGCTGCGTGAAATATGGCGCACCCTGAGGTCGGACCTCAACCTAGCGGTGTTCAGCCGCGGACTGATGAGTCAGACTGAACCACTGCCACGGGACTGTGAGTTCAGCCAAAGAGCCTTCACAGCCACTGCTGACTTGATTACACTCTGCATGTTCCTAGCCACCGCCACCTACGCTCGGCCGGACAAGAAGGAACCACCGCCAACTGTGAGTAGTCAAGTACCGCAGACATTGTTCCTGGATAATAATAATCATAATCTGTCAAAATTAGTTTCCCAAGATTGTAGTCTAAAATCAGTTTATAATAAGCTTTAGTTTAATAGTTTTAGTAAGATTCAATTCACTGACAAAGTACATAGGCTTTTATCATAGGAACATAAAGTCTTACAACATAAAGTGAATATGAATCCATGGTGGATATGAAATGTGGTAATTTTGTATCAAGGTAAACTTTGTACAAATACTTTTGTAGTCAAGGTCTTCTGTTAAAAGCAAAATTGTAAATGGAATAATCTACAACCTGGTTTTGAATATTTAAGGTGTTTCTTGTGATCTAACTTTACATTAATAACTACCCTGCTAAAGAGGAATAGATCTCCAGGCTTGGTTTGTGTACTATTTTATTTTATGTATTCGATATGTTTTGTGTGAAGAGCCAATATTTTTTATGGAGTGTGTTTGATTTAACCAATCAAACATCATTATTTAAATGTTTTGGCATGAGATGTTCTCTTACACAATGTTGATTCCTGTTTATTGCCCCAGTGTGAGAAGATGCAGAGCTTAGTGGCTGGTATACAGAACGATGCTGTGTGGTGGCTACAGGAGACAGCTCTACGCATCTACAGACCTTCGCCTACAGACTTTGTACACGCCTTACACAAGGTACGGCATGTTCGTAGATCATATTGTTTCAAAATTAAAAATGAAGACCCTTATAATTTTTGTTATTCAATAGGCTCTAATTTAATCCAGAATATTCAGGAGTAATAACTAGCCAAAATGTCAGTTAACTGAGAGCTGTTTATGAGAGGATAGGGTAGTTACTGTTAAAATGGAGAATATACGATCTTTAGGCATCAGGACAATTTTATTTAACGAATTTGCCAAATGAAAGGGTTTGGTACAGTAATACACACTACCAATTCTACAACCTCCTTCTGAAGAAGTACTTTCAAAGGAATTAAATGTCAAATTAACTTACATTTGTTCAATTTGTGTACCGTAATCTGCCTGGAACTGATTTCTTAGGTAAGCTAGTGATGTATCCATTCCTTCTGCAACTAGTGTGCTATAAAATGTTACATCAATGTTTAATGGAAAAAGTAAAAATAACTATTCCCTATACGGAAAATTCCCTAAAAGGCCTCATTTTTTCAAATCAATCTAAAAGTAGGGAGTGCCATTAGTTTCAAATGTTTAGTTGATTTTTTGTCTAAAAGTTAGCTTTGGAACTCACCACTAACTTATATCTCATAAAGTGTTTACTGTCTACAGGTAGTGCTGATGGAGCAGCCAGACCAGTACTACAAGCTGGACAACTGGCCGCCGGAGACTGATCGTATGCAGTTCATGCGACTAGCCTCAGAGGTGCCACTACAACAGCACATACTGCTGAGGGTGCTGATGATGGGGCTCAGCAAGGAACACCCCCTGTCTCCCCCAGACACACTGGAGCTGGCCGATCAGCTGGTACGCAGGGCTGCCAACATTCCCACCAGTGACAACGTCAACATGCTCACCGGTTGGTACTTTATCTGTGGTTACGAATAGTGATGGTAGAAATCAGAAATTTTTGAATCTCATAACCAGAACTTGAAAATCAAATTACAAATTTTGGAACCTTACTTGAAACATTTTGACTTACCTGGTTAAGGTTACAAAAATACAGATAATAATCAAATGTTTATTATGCAACCAAAATTAAAATAAATTAGACTCCTGGCTCTCGAATAATAATATAAACAACATGGTGAATACACTTTAATTCCAAAAAAAAAAACATTTCCCAAAAAAACAAAAGCACTGTAATAAATTAAACTCCAGACTTTGACATAACAACATAATAACATATATGAGATCAATAATACTTACTTAATTTTGAATCTAAAATCACAAAACAAAAACTTTACCTAAGTTTTGGTGGTCTTAAAATTTGGGATTCGTTATTGACACATCACTACGGTAGTTGTGCATTTATATTTTATTTGGAATTGTTTTACAGGATCAGTTATATGGGAACGATTAAGTGTGATTTTTGTGGAAAGAAAATTTATTTTCCCAAACATTCAGATTTTTTTTAAGGGACCTTGTTGTAAATAGACTCCCCAAGCTGCAAATTAAAAGGTTAAAAATTAAATTTTAAAAAATATATAAGACAAGTTATATGAAAGTTATACAGATGTTTAGCCTAATGAGGTCTATCATCTTGTAGGCACACTATAGAGTTGCCGTTGTTTACATCACTTAGCCTACCACTATTACAAATCACCAATTAAAGCCAATGAGTTACATTTTGTGTGTTTTGATTTTTTTTTATTACTAGGCCTATACATAAAATCTCCAGTATTTTTTATTGTGAAACAAAGTTATTTATACTGTTTTTACTGAACTATGTGATCAAAGTCAAAGTGGTTGTTTCCTAGACATTTTAGGTTAGACAATTTTGATTATCCACTATCACTCAGCCGCTCATTACTGTTGACTGTGGATAATCGGGAGTCTAGTGTAATTGCAAAATATTCAGCTAACTTACCTAAGAAAAGTCCAGGGACAGTAGAGACCCAGTAAAAGGTCACTAAATATAACAATCCTGTTTCTGAAAAGTTCTATTTGAGTAAAATATCAGTGATGTTTGTATTTGTGTCATAATTAGTATGTTTATTTTGTAACAGTGGACAAGTTGGAGATATTTGATCTAGTCTTCAACCTGTGTGCCTACCACCATCCGGAGAACATAGATCTGCCAGTTGGCTACACCCCTCCTACATTGGCCATCACCAATCTCTACTGGAAGGTAATGTTTAAAAGTACACCCAAACTACCCTTTGGATTGCCATAGTGTAGATGTATTCCGCTGACACTTGCTATTTTGGTGCCTTTGTAAATCTATGGTCTTTTGGAACATGGGATCATACAAATATTTATTACGATATGATAAAGTGTCAAACCAAGGTTTTCTCATGTCAACCTCAGGTGTAGATATCCGTGTAGATATCCTTTTTTCTTGATGTTGTTGCCATGTATGTATTAGGGATGGGCTCTACTACTGGTGCTGGCGGCGCACAACCCCACAACTATCGGCGCAGTAGGCTGGAACAATTACCCCACCTTGCGACTGCTCATGGAGATGTGCATTACTAACCACTTCGTGTTCCCTGCGGCGCCAGACGAGCTGCAAGTCCTGGCGCTGGAGAAGGAGGCCATCTTGCAGTTTGAGACGCACCTTGCTGCAGCCTCTACCAAGGTACGTACCTCTACTAACTGCGAGCTTTGCCTTGCTCAAGTAGGAAACAGGTCAATCTTCTGGTCTGTATGATGATGGATATCCCAAATGACTGTTTTTAGTTGAATAGTTGAATGCTTGTCACTACATTTTCAATTATGACAAGGCGAGAATTAATTGATTTGACATGTTGTCAAAGATCCATACTTTATTGAGGTTGTGATAATATCAGAAAAATATGGAAAATATTTATTTTAATACACCAGTGACCTGCTAATGTGAACCATGTGTTGGGGTGAAAAGGTTTACTGTATTTAAATCAAAATAAAAGCTTTGTGTTCTAAAATATTGACTAGGGTGTCCAGGTGACTAGAAAACTAGGAATCGTACAAACATTTTGATGATAGTAAAAAGTCATGTGAATTGTTCATAAATTTTGTATACGCATGGGAATTTTGAACAATCTCCAAATCAAGCGTTCATTTATGGAATGTGTTCCACTTGTTCTCTTTTAAGTTAATTTTCAGAGTCTTTCAAGGTTGTAGGGTGGTAAGAAGAACGATTGTGGTAGATAGATGTTCACTTTCATAATTTCTGTAGAAATATATTTGGCATTTTCATTCTTTAAAGTACTCCATAATTGGTGTGACTGGTGTACCACCACAACTAAAGCCTTATAAATGCATTACTCTTGACATATAATAAAACTACTTAGTACCGACTGTTTGGTTCACTCTACAGGTAGAAATCAACGAACAGTCTAGTCTGCTGCTGTCTCAGCTGACGGGGATGGATGTGAAGGGAGATGCTCGCAGACCACCAGCTGTGGTGGTGGAACAGCTGACTCTGCTCAACAATCAGCTGAGACTGGGACACCAGCTGTGCCGCTGCAGACAGCCGGACTTCCTGCTGGACATCATACAACACCAGGGTCCGTCACAGAGCATGCCCTGGCTGGCTGATCTAGTGCACAGCTCTGACGCTAGTCTCAGGTAAATATGAATTGTTTAAAAAGTCTCTATTGACTTGAAGCACAAGAACACAAAAAAACTTCACATTATACACAAACAGAATACTTTTGGACCAAGGGACTTGAAGACATTTCATCCCAACTATTAATATTAATAGGTTGAAAGTTAACAGTTGTCTTTAATGTAAAGTTCTTTATGTTTCCCAAAGTGGACTCTTCCCTCTTGTGTTTCAGTTAAAATAGGCCCTAAGGTCTTTATTCATGATCAAAATCTCAGTTACAACTGTAATTTGTTGTACTGTAGGTCCCCTTAGTTGCCATTGGCTGTATGGGCTATTAATTAAAAGCTGTGACCAAGGAACATGTCGGCCAGAGTCATTAACAAGACTACAAGATCACGCCACTCATCCTTCTCTCATATTTGGGTTAAAACGCACACACAGTGGTGTCCCCATCTTAAATAATTGATATAACTGATTAATACAATTCTTTTACAAATTGACTCAAATCACGACTAAACTAAACAAAAATTCTTACCACTACGATTCAAAAAGCTAAGATTAGTTAGGAATGTTCACTTTGTTGTTTGGTGGACCAAGGACTAAGGTTGAGAGAGAGACCTGCTTTATGAATGAAAATAATGTAGTGCAAACAGTTGGACATCATTTCCCTTTCTTTCATGTAACCTATTATATTACTTAATTGATTAAACTATAAAAAATAATGATTTCTTTTTAATAATGAAAATTAACGTCAATGGATTAAATACACTACAGTGAGATTAATTTAAAGTGGAAACAACTAAACCTGACAGGTTTTTCCTATCAGCTTGATTTTGCCTTGGGACCAATCAATTATTCTTTATATAGGTTTACACCTGTAAGAATTAGACAATTTACCATAAAACTGATTGCGTTTCCTCATTTGATACATGAGTACTGTTTTATTTAGTTGCTAATTATAACCCTGACAATGTTATTCAAAGAACCCATATCGGCCATGTCATTGATTAATATCCATATTTCTCACTAAACTCTCCAAGGATTCTTTACCAGACAAGACTCGCTTGGAACAAATTCAAATCCAGTGTGTTACATTAAATATTGGTAACATGACACATGTGTTTTAGCCACCTGCCAGTGCAGTGCCTGTGTGAGTTTCTGCTGAGCTCGAGCGCCAGGCAGCAGCACAAGTATCAGCAGCTGCTGAGCCACCTCCAGTCACTGCTGAATGAACCTTCGCAGGACCCAGAGATTGTGTGTGAGATCCTTGACTACTTCCTACGCAGACTCAGTTCACCCCGCAACAGGGAGCAAGCCATTGCGGTAACGTTGTTGCTTCTTAAGTTATCACCATTTAGGATGGGTACACAACTAGGTGTTTTGTTTTTGGCAATAAAAAATATATTGTGTATACCTTTTCATTGATAATTTTTTAAAGTAATGTTTAGGTGAATATTTTTTACGTAGAAGGGACTTTCCAGCAGCCAGTATGAAGGTGGTTGAATGATTCACTTACTCAAATTGTTCTGGAAGGAGATTGTGAGGTATACTGTACCTTGAGAAACTTCTCACTGTGAGTGTTGGCTTATAGTATAGAGCCAACTACTCAGCACCAACTTCTTAGAACCTCAAACAATTAGTTATGCTGTTAATTTGTTAGTGATATGTTATGATTAGCATATGTGATGTGTATGTGCAGGGGCTTCGTTTAGTGCTAGGGTGTGCAGAAGATGAGGTAGAGGAGGGAAAAGATGACACGTCCTGGCTACTTAAGCAACTACCACTGCTTCCCCACTTCCCTGAGGCCCGGCCGCAGGTAACAATGTTTCTGATTCTATGCTTTGTTTTTGTCGGTAACCCCTAGTTCCACCTTCAGATCTACACACCCTGTCTCTGGGAGTAAAAGCATAATTTCAACAAGCACAATAGAGAGTTTAAAAAAAAGTTAATACTATTCTGGGAAATTGCTCATCAATACCTTTCATTTAAGGAAGTGGTTGATTGGTGTATGGCTTACGGTTTTCCCAAAATTTGTGTTCCTCATTAAAATTGTCTTTAAAATTTAAATTGTTAAAGAGAAACAATCATCTTGTTGTGGGATAGTTTAAGAGAAAAACCAAAATATTATTTCTGCCAAGAACGTTGTTTTACTATAAAAATTGAACTTTGAAGAACAAAAAAATTCATATTTTTACTCTTTAAATAGTATTTTTTACTGTCATTCTTTGGATTTTTTTTATACCTTACATTCTCATTCATACATAGACTCATGAATGAGCCATGATTCATAGAGCCATGAATAAGTAGTGTAACACGTTTGATGTTCTGGCCAGATCGTGATCGCGTTGCGCAGCGCGTGTCTGGTAGAGACGGACCCTGGCCTGGTGGTGACGTATCTCAACTTCCTGGCACAACACACATCTAGTGATGTGACGGAGACGACGGACCTGGTGGCGGACATGGCCACTCTGATAGTAGAGAGGTCGACAATCATCAATGCCATCATACCATCCCAGGACCATCCCAACGCTGGCCTGGACGCATTCCTCTCCATCTTCTACACATACCTGATAAAGGTGGGTAAATTTATTACAAATTTGAAAAATCGCACAGTAAAATAATTTATTTCCACATTCTATAACATAACTAAAGAGTCTTAATTATTGTAGGTAACGTTATCCCTGGTTTTATATAGTACATTGGAGAATTGACTGGCAAATAAGTAATCCAAATGTTAATATTTGCGTACTGGCTTGATGCAAAATCACGATCAGCTATATTGAAGTTAACAAAGATCAGCAGTAAATGGCTTCTAATGCTAATCTTATCAAGAACATTTCATGTTATATCTCGTTTTCTGGTAACTTTGGGGGAATTCTGCTATTTTTCCCAATTCCCTGGGGTCAAGACTAGTGATGTGTCAAAACCGAATCTCAAATCTCAAAACCATCAAAATTTTAGAAAAGTTTCAGTTTCGAGATTTGTTTTTTCAGAAAATTCCTACCTATGGAAAATCATATATGGTTTGAAGAATGAAAATTTAATACAGACTGCAAGGGATCAGATTTTAAGAATTTCTTTTAGAATAAAAGGTCTCTCTGGGTTGGAAGAGTCCATTCTGACAGAAGAAACACGATCCTTTTACACAAAGATTGGGACTTAAAGACTTATCTTTCCATCACAAGCCTTACTTGGCTGAAAATGATGTCAGTGGAAGTAAAATTCCAATTTTTGTTGTATAAAGTAAAGCTAGTTGTGTTTCTAGTGACAGAGAGGGTTCTTTGTCATTCAGGTAGACCCATAAGAAAATCCTTAAGATTCAAAAAGTTGAAGTAACTTACAAGGAAGGGTGATAGTTTAGTTTGCCCAACTGTCTGCAGGCTAGAGAGCCGCAGAGAGAGGCGTATGCGTGGTCGGAGAGCCAAGACCAGATCCTGGTGACGTGGCCGAGTGGTGAGCAATGCACCCTGTATATACTGGTGGTGCACGCCATGGTGATCATACTGGCTTTTGGACCCCAGTGTGTGTCACTGGCAGCGGAGTATCAACATTTGCTGGACATGTGGTTTCCTCTGGACAAACAAGATACTCCCAAGGTGAGTAATGTCAGGGAAACTAATTACAGTGAAGGAATTGTCTTTTTGTCATAAACAAAAAATGATTGAAAGTTTGATGGACTATTGGTCAATACAGCGCAATTCTTTTTCCCTTTTGGTAAATCTTTGAAATACAGCCTCATTAACTTGTTGATTTTTAAAAGAGTTATTTAGCCTCCGGATTACTGTTTTATACTTTAAAATGGTATAAATACCTACATTAAGTAATCCTTGGTTGCTGTTGTGGCAACTAGTTTCAATTCATGAATTATCTACAGGTGATAAGAAGACAAAGGCAGATATAGATTACCTTTACTGCCAGTTTAGACATATCAGCCTGGTCATGGCGCTAATGCTTATGTTATTTCGTCCTCTACGCTTTTTTATGTATGTACTCTGTTTATGTGTGATGTGTTATTTTTACCAACCTTATGAACAACCTTCAAATATAGTGATTGATGCTGAACTACAGTACTATATTGGCCGGTCTTCACGCTCATTTAAAAAGAGATTCAGAGAACATTTACCCAGAAAAACAACAGCTTCCCAAACATCAAATTTTGCAGAACATCTAGTTTTAAATAACCACAACTATTCAGATATCATATATAATGTGGAAGTTTTACATTTCTCACAGGACTGTTTAACCAGGAACACACCGAAGAGTTTGAAATATACAGAGCAGTCAAATCCGACTATCTAAACGTTTTGAACGATAAACTTTCTTTCCAATCCAACTACAGTACATCTATAATACAGCTATCAGGATCCTGGAGGGGAACAATGAATGAATTAACATGCTCCAGTAATAAGAAGACAGAGACAGACGTCATAGACCACCTTGACCGCTGGTCTAGACTTAACTTCAACCCGGCCACGTTAGTTTTTGTCAATGTCCCTCGTGTGTTTCATGTTTTTTGTATCTTTTATATATTATTCTATGTTTTCGTCTCAGTTTTGGGGACTTCATGTTGACATTATGTGTTGTTGATCACACAGGCTTTTCTGGTGGACACATCAGAGGAGGCCCTACTAATCCCTGATTGGCTGAAGCTGAGAATGATCCGTTCCAGAGTCCCTCGTCTAGTAGATGCGGCTCTCACTGATCTTGAACCTCAACAGCTGATACTGTTTATTCAGTCTTTTGGGATACCCGTCGCTTCTATGAGGTAGCCATTGAAAAACCATTACTGTATTCACTCTAGCTATGTACTTTTTAATGTGAATAACTTTCAAATTAGAACCGATGAACGGTAAAAATAAAAGGTTTTACTGTGCACCATCAAGCCACTCGGAATCTTTTATCAACCAAATCTCATCCCTCTTAATTCTTTGACAAACAATCATGTCTATGAATGTTTCCAATCATCAAACGTCAAACTCTGTACATGTGTTGCAGCAAGCTGCTAGACACCCTGGACAGAGCCGCACTGACAGACGAGGTTTCTGTGGTGGAAGCCGTGCAAGACAAGGGGTACATGATACAGTTGGTGGAGGTGCAACACCAGAGGGGAGCGGAGGGAGGGGAGATCTTTGCTAGAGCACTAGGAGTGCAAGACACCCCCAGGAGTACAGAACCTGATCTGGAAGACATTACACCAATGGATGTATCTGGTAGGTACAAGAGACAGGGTGGCCAACGACCGGGAATTCTGGGAAAAACCGGGAATTATACGATTTTTGAAATCTCAGGGAAAACCTGATTTCAGTACCGTTTTGTTGTATTATGGATCTAAAATGAATAAGAAAGGTTTAACTCTCAGCGATGTACTGTATTTGCTTTTGTAAACACAGATAAAACTGTTAGGGCTTGTCAAACTCCTAATTGTTAAACCGTTAAGATAGGGTGATAAAAAATGTGTCAACAATAATAATTAAATTAAATATTTCTGATGCTAAATAACAGACTTAGGCTTCTTGTAATAATTTGTGAAATAATAAAATATATTTGTTGTTTTGTAGAGCAGATGCCGTTAGATCTACCTCCCACCACTCAACTGACAGATAACAAAGCTGTTGTCATTGTTGAGAGACTGTTCCTCATGCCTGAAAATTTCTCCGACCGCCAAACAACGAGGGAGCTATTTATGACTTTACAAAAAGTAAGTTTAATGTGTAAAAGTTGTTGTGTATGTTCTATTGGGAACTTTTAAAAACAAATCAATCAATCAATCAATTACTGTATTTAAGATGGGGACGCCACTATGTGCGTATTTCAACCCAAATATAAGTGAAGGATGAGTGTAGGATGAGTGGCGCGATCTTGTAGTCTTGTTAGTGACTAAGTCCGTCATATTCCTTAGACACAGCTGTTAATTAATAGCCCAAACAGCTAATGACAACTATGGGACCTACAGGCTATAGTGGAATCCGAACCACATTCTTACCTTGGTATTAACGAACTGGTCTAATTATCAGGATAGTACTGCGGATAGTATTAGTACTCACTAGTACGGGCGTTAATCCACACCAGGGAGTATCGCATCCACAGTGCATCTCTATAAATATCCACAATTCGTGACCTCCTAGTAGCAGGATTACAGGACAACGCCACCGTCCCAGTCATTCATGTTTATGTGTGTTCTGTTCTGATACAAATTTACTTTGTTCTTAGTCTTAACGATTTAGATTAGTTAGTTCCCAGGTAATATGAGTGTTCTATTATCCTTTTTAAAGTAAATCTTATCTTATCTTATCTTATCTTATCTTACTAATATTATAAATGTGAAAGTTTGTGTGTTTGTTTGTTTGTTTGTTTGTTTGTTTGTTTGTTTGTTTGTTTGAAGTTCAATCACACATTAACTACTGGTTGGATTGGGCTGAAATTTGGTATGGTGATAGCTCACATTCCCGATTAACATATAGACATATTCTTATCTCAAAAATCCTTTCGGGCTCCGCCCCAGTGGCTCTGAAGTTCCCCATGTTAACCTTATGAGTATTCATGTTTAAAAGGAATTAAATAATTTTGTCAGCTGTTTCAAAATAACAAAAGTTGGTTCTATGATGTTAAATAGCATTAAAAAGTTATAAGGTTTACCAACAGGGTGCAGCACTATTAATATTTTTGTATTTATGACAACAACCAACTAGCAACAAAAAGCTGTGATAATGAGAACTTTACTTTTTTCTATTGTTTAGGTGCAGTGGTAGAAAATTAAGGCTATGATAGATGTGCTATACTACAGCATACCGTAAATTAAAAGAACCAAATTTTCTTAAACCAAGTCCTCTCCCATTGCAAACGCAAAGCCAAGTATAACTGCATTAAGCATTTTGTATACTTATACGCCAACCCCGTACGAAGGACGAGTACTCTGCTAGTACAATATAAAAACAAATCAGAAGTTGTTTTTCCAAAAGGAAATGGCAAAGACCTCTCTATGATTGTTTTTTCAGACAATCTCCTCAGAAGTTAGCAAATCCCAGACAAGCAAAGAACCGCCAAGAATACTGACAGCTTTGATTATTTACTTGATGAAGAAAACTTCCTCAGACAAAAGCTTTGTGCGAGCGGTTGTGTCACGAGCTCACATCGCTTGTTCCTTGTTCCGTCTGCTTACATCTGTTACAAGGTTGGTTGGCTCAATATTATATTTTATTTAGTGATTTTAAAACTAATAAGTGCAGTTTGCTTCTAATAACGGTGTCCTGTACACTCATAGATTCCTTTACTTCAGTTATTTACATGTTTTTCTTAAATAACACTCTCTATTTTATTTTTCCTACCCTCAACGATAAGGAAAGAGAAATTCTTAAAAATACTATTGAAAAAATGAAACAAGATCAACAGATGGACAAAGTCAAGTCTCATGATTACAGTCTTGACTCAAAAAACTGTATAGTTCAGTCTACTTTGAACAATGAATGGCTGACGGACGATGCTATAGACCTCTACTTTAAAACACTCTTACACAAGGGCTTGATAAATTCAGACACTTGCTTAATAAACCCTGCTGTATCACAGGCAATTAAATGTGCAGAAGATTTTTATCACATTGCCAATCCCTTACACCTGGAGGATAAACAGTTTATAATTGTTCTAGTAAATGATGCAGATGCAGCTTTAGAAGTAGCGGGTCAGCACTGGAGTCTGATGTTCTACGCAAAATGTAGTGACACCTTTTATTACTTCGACTCATTAGGACAAAAAAATGTTCAGCATGCAAAACGATTGTCGCTTAAATTACATAAATATTTTAATGCTCGAAAACCTCTAAACTTTAAAGTAATAGACATCCCTCAGCAAACAAATGGAAGTGACTGTGGTGTCTACGTTCTGTTAATAGTTGACCTGCTTGTAAAAGCCATTGAAAATGGAGACGTCACACGATGTCTAGACAGTACTTTCAAACAAGTGAAGATAAGTAAGTCAGAAGTTATATTAAAGCGTGCACTATTAGCATATCTTAGCTACAATGGGCAAAGCAATAAAGTTGACATGGTTGTTCTCAAGTCAATGCTTAAACAGTATCCTGCAGTTGAAATGAAGAGTAAACCGCAAAGTAACCATATCCCACATGGGGTAAGTAGCAATTTTGTACATAACAAGTCTCCTAACACTGAAAATCTGGTGGCAGCTGGTTGTAATTCATGGTCAGTTATACAAACTAAAAAGAAACAAAGCAATACTAACTGTGAAAAAAATGTTAAGAAGGCGGGAGGAGGATCTAACATTAAACAAGTAAATAAGTTTTCAATACTGGAGAAGTTATCAGATGACAATGATGGAGAGAAATGTACGACAAACAGCACTTACCAAACTAAGACAGCCAACAACAAACATAAGAAAAATCACCTCAAGCACAAGAAAAATCACCTCAAGCACAAGAACATAAAACTAGGATCGGATAGGAAATGTGCAAAACAACAGAAAACAAAATCTAATCTAAAAGTAACCTTCTGTTCTGACAGTCAGGGTAGGGACATACCAATAAAACTAACTGCTCTCAGTGGTGGTAAAGTGGATGCTTTCGGGTATGTCAGAGCAAACACCACTTTAACACAAGTTGTTGATTCTGCTTCGATTGTCAGTGACACCTCGCCTGTTATCTTTCTTGGAGGCAGTAATGACAGTCTTAAAGACTGTTTTAATGAAATATACCATAATTTAGAATCTAAACTTCAACTTCTGAGTTCTTCTAGGCCAGTTTTTATATGCACGATACCCCTGAGACATGACAAATCCGCAAAAAGTCCTGAAAATCTTAAACTCTTAACTGCTAATAATTATATCACTGAATTAGTAGACAGAATAAATAATGTCTATTTGATCAACGTAAATATTCTTCAGAGATCACACTTCACGTCACATGGCTTACATCTGAACAACCTAGGCAAAAGTGAAGTAGCTCACATAATCCTTAACACTATTTCATCTTGGTTGACAACACAAAATCATATAAACGATCTTTTAAATAATCACAACAGCATAAACATCATTGAATCAAATATGCATCATATAATAGACAGCTTGAAATCAAACCAGGAGGTGGCTTTTTCTCACTGCATATCAGGTGATTTCATAAATCCAAGAAATATGTCTGCTGGAGTTGCAGTTCCATTCAGAAAATTTTTTGGCAGGCCCAAAAAAACAGATATCCTCAACAATTATCTGACACTGCAAACTTATAAAAATGGAGCAGCTGTCTATGGACTGGTTACCAAAGCCTTGTATAATGGGAAACCGGCAATATCAGATTATGATACAGCTTTTAGTAATCTGACGGACGATTTTAAACAAAGACAGTATAAAAGATTAATTTGTTCGCCCATGGGACTTGTGAGAGACTTGGTCCCTATTGAAAATTTTGCTAGCAATATTGTAAATTTTCAACTTGCAACAGGCGTTCCGGTTTCAGTGATAGTCCAAGAAGAGAAATCATCAAGAAATCTTTACAATAAACTGAGCTTTGATGCATTTAAAAATACACTCCATCAACAAATAAGGGAATACAAGAAGAGCACTCGAGAAGAAAAACTAAATGTTGAGGAAACACGTTCCATGGCATCAAGACCTCAGGCAAATATGTCCCAGCATGCTGTTGAAGAAGATGCCATAGCTAGCAACTCCAACCCAAGACCAGTGGAGTCAACGGCAGGTGCTATTGAGAAGCAGTTAGTGTCCAGTGAGTGTAAAAGCCAGTCTGTGCTCCCCCAACAGTGTTCTCCTCCTAAGCCTTCCAACACCTCTACTCCCTATTCAACCAAAATTGTAAATTTTTGTATTTCCAATACCCAAGCAACTGAATGTTCATCCCAAAATAGTTCATCCCAAAGTAATAGTAGTAGTGGTAATAGTAGTTTTAATTCACTAATGTCCAATGTTCCTGTTATAGGACAACCAGTAATTTCAAAAAACCTGCTATTGGCAATAGTCTCAGAGAAAACATGAAAACCACTTTCAAAGGTTGTCAATTAATGCACTATAATGTTAGAGGCATCAAAAATAAATTTGAGGAATTGTACACTATTATTAAGGATATTGACCAAATTAAGATAATCTGTTTAAATGAACACAAATTGAAAGAAAGTAACAAATCTATATTGAATAAATTACCTAATTTTACTTTAGCTGATGGGTATTTTAGGACAAAATCGGCTGGTGGTTCATGCATTCTAGTGCATGAAACAATCAATTTTATTGTGAGGCAAGATCTCAAGGAATTTAATGACGAATACTGTTTTGAATCCTCTTGTATAGAAATAATAGATTGTAAGATTATTGTTGTTTCCATATATAGAATACCAGGTAGTAGTGTTACACAGCTATTTTTATGTAAATTTAGATCTTTTCTGGAACTAATACAAAAAAAGGATTTCTCAAAGAAAATCATAGTAGCAGCTGATTTCAACATAGATATTTAAAAAAATGATAATGATACAAAAATGTTTGAGAACTTGTCTTGTAATTTTGGTCTGAAAATAAATTTTAGACAGCCAACTAGAGTATTTAAAACATCAAAAACATGCATAGATAATATTCTCACAAGTGTAAGCTATGATAAAAACGCAACCATAAATATTGATCTTGGCATGTCTGACCATAATGCATTATTTTTACAGTTGCCTAAAACCTTAAACTTGCCTGAAAGTGTATACAAAAGAATTCGCTTTTTTCCTATTAAAAAATTACCACTTTTTATTAATTCATTAAGTGACAATATCAAGTCTTTAGCTCTAGACAAATCTGTGAATGACAACTACAAATCTTTTTTATCTAGTTTTACACTTTCACTGAATGAAGTTTATCCTGTGAAATTAATTAAAGAAAAGAAAAACCAATGTAAGGAGAATTGGATTACTCAGGGTATAATGATTTCTTCAGAGACTAAAAGAAGATTACACCAATTGGCAAAAACATGTAGACAAAAATCATTTTTGAACTATGTTAAGAACTATAAAAGAATTTTCAAAAAGGTAGTTTTACAGGCTAAGAGATTGCATAATAGTAATTTTATTATTAAATCTTGTAACAAGAGTAAAGCTATGTGGGGAGTTGTTAAAAAAGAACTGGGCATTCAAGTAAAAACGGAGACTACTACTAAAATTGATGTTGGGGATAGGGTGATAAATGAACCCAAAGAAATTGCAGAATATCTTAATTTTCAATTTTCCAACATAAAGGAAATATTAAATGTGCCAAATGTCTCTTTCATCAATAACAAGTACATCAGTCAAAACTCTTTAGAATCAGACAATACAGATAAACTACAGTTTTTGGCTTTTACCAACAAATTTGAAGTTAAAAATGCTATCTTAAGTTTAAGTAATAGTAATTCTTGTGGTTGGGATGAGATTCCCACTAAATTATTGAAATGGACTGCTGACATTATTTCTGATATTATAGCTAGACTCATCAATCAATCATTTAGTGAGGGTGAATTTCCAGACTTGCTAAAATTGTCTGAAATCAGACCAATTTAAAAAAAAAGGCAAACATAATAATAGTCAAAATTACAGACCAATTTCTTTACTCAGTAATATATCTAAAGTTTTTGAAAAAATTATTCATCTTAGAATTGCAAATTACCTAGAATGTAACTCAAAACTGTGTCAAGAGCAGTTTGGTTTTAGAAGAAATCTAAGCACACATAATGCTCTTTTTACTTATATTAGTAGTGTCCTTGAAGCTCTGGATCAGTCACAGTTGACTGCAGGAGTTTTCTGTGACTTATCCAGGGCTTTTGACTGTGTGGACCACAGGTTGCTGCTGATCAAATTGAAGAATATTGGCTTGGAGGGAATGGCACTAGAATTATTACGATCATACCTATTCAATCGAAAGCAGCGTACAATAGTAATAAAAAAATCAATAAAATATTATTCTAACTGGGCCAGCGTTACATATGGTGTTCCCCAAGGTTCCATACTTGGGCCTTTATTATTTATTATATTTATTAATGACTTGCCTAATTGCCTTTCCACAAATTCCTGTGCTTTCACTTTGTATGCTGATGACACAACTGCTCTTTTAAAAAGAAAAACACTAAGTGAACTTAAATTAACTTTTGACAGCACAATTAAAAAAATCAATGAATGGTTTGAGAGCCATGGCTTGAAATTAAATGAATGTAAAACTAACATTCTTCAATTTAAACTCAGAAACAGAGTTACAGACACCACAATCAGTAATACAAAAATTGTTAAGTTTTTAGGTCTAAATTTAGACTCAAAATTAAGTTGGTCTGATCACATTCATCATCTAAATAAAAAATTAAGGTCAACAAGGTATTCACTAAGTGTACTATCCAAGGTCACGCCTCTAGAAGTCTGCTTGACAGTATATCATGCGTATGTTCATTCTTTGCTGGCTTATGGCGTCACTCTATGGGGTAACTCTGCAGAGGCCAAGAAAGTGTTCACTTGCCAAAAGTCAATTCTCAGAACTATTTTTCACCAGAAGTCTAAAAACAGCTGTAAACCTTTTTTCAAAAAACATTCCATTTTAACATTACCTTCTCTTTATATATTTGAAATAGCAAAGTATGTTCATGCAAATTCCTTCTTTTTTGAAAAATATAAAATAAATCATAACTATCAAACGAGAAATAATAACAAAACTTTTCAATATCCCAAACATTCGCACACAAAATTTGAAACTGGGCCTCTTTACATGGGATTAAAAATCTACAATCATTTACCTAATTCATACAGAACTTTATCAAAACCAAATTTTACATATAAACTGAAAGAGACTTTGAGCCAAAAAGCGTATTACAAAATTCAGACGTTTTTTAAAGATAAATTGTAATAGTTTTTACTCTTGTCAGGGTATAATTAGATTAAGGAACCTAGATATAAATTGACCATGTACCAGCTTGGGAATTACTTTTGTAATTATTGTATCAGGCGTGATGTACAATAAAGCTTTGTCTATTGTCTATTGTCTATTGTCAACATTTGATTTTCTTCCTTCATCTCATTTTTATCTTCACCACATGGATATGTGCACCTAACCTTCTTCTAGTTATCTTTCTCTGTTTGCTTCATTCTATCATCATCAACTCTTATTCTCTGAAGAATTCTGTTTCCCTGAATCATTTTTGCATGTCCTAACTATCTAAGCCCTGCATTTTGTAACCTTCTCTAATCAGCCCCCTTTTGATGTCTTCATTCGTGACCCTCACCCACCTTGTTTTAATCATAGTGACCCTAAAAATCTCAGTTATCTTGCACACATTCTGCCCCATTTACTGTACATCCCATAAGTCCATCTCATAATCTAAAAAAAATTAGTATGTAAAATACTAAAATGTTACTACTTTAAACTACTACCTCGTACTATACTAATAAACTAAAACGGATATTATCTGTTGATGTAAATTTAAATCCACACTATCATCCACTTCAGGGTATACCTTTGGGTCACCCATCCAATGGAATAGTGTGAAATCTGTCATGAAACTGCTAAATCAATATTTTGTAAAGGTTTCTAGTGATGATTTTATTTGGTGGGGACTTGTTAAACATTTGATTATTCCAGGTCGGACCTACTATCATCAGTGCTGCTCATAGCCAGTGTGGTGTTGCCTGAAGCCCAGAAGTATATGAAAGCAAAACCTCTGGTCGGTATACTGAAGAGTTTTATCCAGAAACATCAGAACAAAGAGATGACATTCCGAGCTCAATCTGGTACTGATAATCCTAAGAAAGGTATGTCTGGGACACATTGAGAGAAGTAAGTAGTAATATTTTAGAGTAGGGATAGGTAACAATTTTTGTATTTTTATGGAATAACGAGTTCATTGTCTGTTATTGGGACAGTATTGCAAAAAGTACTTGTTATTGTATAATAGCTTTGCTAACAAAATTAATTGCACAGAAGTTAAAAAATTAGTTATATCAAGAAGTTATATCCCAAAATATGACAACTTTTAATAGCTGTCAACATTCTTGAAGAATCATTACCAGTTTTTAAACTACTCTGGCGTCATTGTCTCTTGTGGTTGTAAGTAGTCTAACTAATTGGACCAACTGAGTTTGATCAGCTGGTTTCAACAGCATTATCCGTATTGTTGGCAGTGTTTGAGGAGACATCACTGAGCAGACTGGAGGTTCAAGGTCGTTTGTTGCTGGAGGCTCATAGTCAGGGTGGGAATGACTCCAAGACTCTGGTCCAAGCGTTGTCTAGTGTCCTACTCAAACAGTCCTCTGACAACCGCAAGGGTCTGCTCCTGGATTGGTTAGTTCAGTTGGAGCCAGAGATCATTGGCGAGACTTCCTCTTCTCAGGTAATACTTGTTGGTTTATATAGCTTACTACTGGAAATTATCACCATTTTCTTTTGAAAGTTGTAGGACTGTCAGTACGATTTGATGAACTATAAATTTTTCAAACAGTGTAGGTCATATTTTTGGTTGAATTTTATCATGTAAATTTAAAACTTGATCTTACTACTCACTAGTCCATCATAGAAAACAAGAGTAAATCATTTGAAATAAAGGGATTCAATATAGGCTAATCTAAGATAATATATTGGTTGTTGCTGCTGTCAGATGGATCTGTTGTTCTCCCGGGGAGAGTTTGTGTGTCGTCCGTTCCTGCTAACTCTACTAACTCACCACGCCAGCTGGGCAACATTGCATCACTGCACTAAGCGACTGCTCAGTCCTAAAGCTGGGGCCAAGTAGGTCATGCTTAGATAATTTTGTATTCTTTATGCACCATACTTTTTGTAACACCGTTTGCTGATTTTTATGTGACCCATACTTTACTCATAGCTCAACACCTTTCTAGGTTTATAACTGTAAAAAATTCCCAATGAGTGATATATATTTTTATGAGTACATTGATGTTCTTTTACAATACTTAGAAGTTAATGTTTTAAGCTGAAGGTGACCACAGCCTAAATATCACGACTTTGTTGCAAAATTAGTTGCCTACTACAATCTGTGGTAACTTATTACAAGTATTTATTTACATTATATTTAAGCTTTTTTTAGAGAGAGATGTAAGTAGCTCTGAGATAACATGCAATTAGGGGTTTTAGATACAATTTTAAGGAGAGTTAACAACTGTTTCAACTTTGTTGTGTTGTCCAGGTATGACCCAACAGCAGTGCTAGATTTTCTGATCGCACTCACTTGCAACCCCAAGCTACTGCAGGGCAGAGAGAAGTACACACCCAAGCATGGGGCAGTGGAGGATATACTGAACTTACCTCGCTCTCAGGTTAGTCACATTGCAAAGGAAATTTGGTATATGAATAAACAAAGTGTTCAGTTTTTTTCAAACAATTATATAATTATAGTATGAATTTTTTACTGCTGTCAATTTGAATTTATTATGATAAAATAGTGACATTAGGATAAAAAAACTCTTTTGGATAAGAATGTAACATACAAATTAGGGGCTAAAAGTTAAGATGACTTTCCTGAATGGGAAAGAGTCAATCCTAGTACGAAAAAGACAAATTACAATACACAAAAACTAAAAACACTGTCACTGACAGCAATTTCAAAGGAAGAACGTTTGAAATGGGAAAAGAAACCAACTGAAATCCTCTCAACTGGTATATTTTCTCTACTCGAACTCTCCTTTATTGAAAATGCTGTCAGCCACGATTATATATTTTAATTTTTGTGTATAGTGTAAAGTTTTGGGTTTGTTGTGCAAGGTTGGACTCTTTTCAATTCAGATAGGCTTGCTTTCCAAATAAAAATTCTTTAAACCTTTTGATAAAAATCAAGCCCTAATGGACAAGACAAATCCGAGGCTGGAAAAAAAAGATTGAGAAGTCGATAAGAAATAAGAAGAATCAGATTGTCAAGGAAAGGAACATTAACACATTATGCACAATGTTACAGCTGCCGTGTATAGCTGACTACATCGTGGAGGAAGCTGTGAGGTTTGATGATATCAAGGAGGCAGTGGACAAGATGAATCTCCGTCTCTCTCTGTTGGCGCCTCATGCTGATCAAGAAACACTCTCCATTGTCGTCAAACACTTGAATGAGAATGCTGCTAAACCCACTGGGTTAGTTGTGACTCATTTTATTATTACAACTTAAAAGTTAGCAATATGTGTGTTGGTAGTATATAACTGAGGAAATAATATTTGATTGAAAAAATAATGATAACGATAACGTATACGAGGACAAAGGAACCCTTGGGATTCCCTTTTGAAATTTAACTTATTTAATGTATTATGTATTTCTTGTGTAAAGCAGTAATTTTGAGCAGCAATTTTTTGCCGGATGGGCTTAGTTCAGTCGGAAGTTGAAATCAAATGGCACCTCTAAACGTACTTTATATGTAGCAAAAAAAAAACATTTTGGCATCACAAACGGTATTGTGACTAGATTTACACAGTTGGTATCGTAGCGAGGTGCTACCATACATTCCTGTCATTGCACAGTTAATCCCCTTACACCTACTATGTACGTGCTGAAATATTTGTGGAACGGTTTGTTTGGGGTCACTCACATACTCAATTTAAAATGAGCAGAGTTTGTTAACCATCGGTGTAAGAATGAGAAAGTTTTCCGTAGAAAAATAATTTTTATGCACGACCTAACAACACTACCAACGGTGAGTTAATTCCGGCGTCAGATGAAATTCACTGCCAAATGTTTCACCCTTGCTTTAAAGTAGCTTCAATTGCAGGTGGTGATCTTAAAACATGTATGGACTGATTCATTAGGAAAAGATTGAAAACCCAAAGGGAATAACATGAAATTGGACATGGTTATTGGTTAGGAACATATGTTACTCGTTTTACATGGATAGCCAATTGTTTAGTCTTTCAAAGATTACTTTTATAAGTTCTTGACATCACAAAACTTATTTATTGTTGATTCACAGCAAACACAGCGAGATGTGCCGGCAGCTGTTGGTCCAGCTGTACCTCAGAGTTCCCAGCATTGTCACTCAGCTCTCGGATACAGAGCTGGCAAAATACCTCAGCAACTCTTCGATATCAGGTGAGAAGAGATTGAAATAATCACTATTATTGTCAGATCTTGTAAGTTAGTTAGCTTTGTCATGGGATTCTTTGCAAGGCCTGGATAGCTGCTTGATATCCAACCCAACTGTAAAAGTATGTGAAACAAACCAATAAACTTGCTGTTTTCTATACTCTTCTTTAAAGTCGTTTACAGACCAGGTAAATCCAGCTGGAGTATGATAAACTTACTTGTCACTTTTGCAATAGGCTATAGGCTGTTGACAAAGCTACCTCCCCCTTGACCCCCCCTATTAATAGGCGGGCCCACCGCCTTAATACAAATTTTTCATTAGTTAGAACGTGAATCACTTTGCTTGACTGCCATTGTACTATAACGGCCTGATATGAAGAACTAGTCTAATGTATACAATATTTACAGTGATGGGCAGCAGTGTGTTGGACACAGTGTCTCATACGCTGTTGACAGCATTGACAGCAACCCCGCCCAACAAGGACTGGTACAGGCGGTCTCAAGAGTTTGATCTGGCTACCAGGAAGATGACAGCCACTCACCCACTGCTAGTGCTCCGGTAAGAGCTGTTGATTCGTCAGTGCTAGAAAATCTAAGTGGGAAATTAGAAAAGCTGCGTAGGAAATTATAAGTTTTTGTGGTAGTGCAATAATGTAAAGGATTAAAATGGAAGCTTTGAGTATTTCAACAATCAGAAGTCAGAAACATGTAATCCATCATGATTTCTTGTGTTAGCTGTGTCGTTAGTTGAATACTGTCAGACATTTCGTCCTTAATATGAAGAGGCATCCTCAGTAGCTATGCTGAGACTGATTGTTCACCCCCCTCCACCCACTATTGTACCATGTCATAAGTATTAAACATAAAAATTTTAAAGTAGAGGAAAATTATGTAAACATTAGTTGAAATAGGTTTTCACAGTAGATTTTTATGATATTGTAATTATTGTAAAACTTGCCCTTCTATTTTGGGATTAGGATTTTAAAATTTCCATTTAAGATTCAAAACTCTTGGATTTGTCCATCGCTAATGACTAATGTACACCCGTGGTAACAATGATAAACTGAAACTGGACGATGATCAAATATGTAAATAATAAACTAAATAAAATACTTAAAAAAATAATTTTATTCCTGTATTGTAGTTAATGCAAGAGTCAAGAGTTTTATTGTCATTGACTTTTCTTTGTATTGAGGAATAGACATAGTCAACATAAATGCTCTAGAATACAACATTTTATAAAATATTAAAATAAAATACAAAGTTTACAAAATAATAAGACAAGTTAAGTAAAATATGACAGGTCTAGAGAATGTAGATCTGCCAAGCCTTTCCCTCCAGAAATTTTATACAAATTACTTGAAAAGGCTTTGGCAGATCTACATTGAAATTCAATATTTATATTTGTTTTAAGAAATGACAAGCTAAGACAAGTTAATTTAGGCGCTTTTGAATGTTTACGTATGTACTTAAAAGTTAGGCCTAGTTTTATTTGTTCAAATAATTACAATCTGGAAAAGCTGGAGTTGTCTTTGAATTTTATTTATGGCTTGCGTAACGCCCTGATATAGTTATAAAATTGACTTTGAAGTTGCAAAGCATGAACCACATGATGATGTATGCCTACAGACAGCTGGAGATGATAGCCGCTGCACTGAGAGGACGAGTACATCTAGAGTTCCCGGTGTTGCGGGGTCGCAACCATCTGGCTCTGTTCACACAGGTGCTCGGACTGCTGGAGCTTCTGAGGCCTCATCTGTTCAGGGCTGAGTACACCACTCCTCTGCACAACATCTTCGACACGTACTTTGCTTTGTTCAAGGTCAGTCACGGCGTTAATTGTAACAATTTCCTACCTTGGAAGGACAAAATATTTAAAGTGGTATGAACTTTGGTGTGCAATTTACCGCCTTGAACATTTTTTTAACTGAGCTATTTGTTTATCTAAATTTTCGTCTAGAAATGTGTGAGCAAATGATTGAGATTAAGGAGAACGTAAAGTCTTAATGGAAAAATCGGGTTGAACTAAGAATTGTGGGGGTTACCTATTTCATTTCAATTTGTCTCCTTGTCCAAGTGCATTTTACTCAAAATAAATTAATATTTGTTTAATGTTTTTTGTCCACGTATGACTTTTGATTTGTTCAATGAAACAACCATTTCTACTTGGATAATCCCTCGCACGTTTTTTACTTGTTATAGTAGGGATATGTTTCAAGCAGTATTGCAGACCTCTATTTTAGCCCTATTTTCTCCAATTATAAAAGTAATCTAGACATGAAGTAGGTCTACATTGCCAAAAAACTATTACGGTATTAAAAGTTTTTTCTACAAAATAAGCGACACAAAAAAAAATCCTCTATCCAATTTCCTAAGGTTATTTTACTGTAAATTTGTTTAACACTCCAATGATTCTTTCATTACCCTGTTAACCAAAATTCAATCCATTACTTAACCTGCTTTACTACCACAACCTAGCAAATTTCAAAGAAAATAATCTAAATATTGTATTTTTTACAGCAACACGGACACATGAAGGATGTCGGTGCTCTGCTGGTCAGATTTGTAAGCTTGCTGAAGGCATACATCGGACACAATGCTGAAGAATCTCTTCGTTATTTACAGACTCAAGCTGCCCTAATCAGGTATGTAGCTTTAGAACTATTGTACGTCAATATGTAAGATTCACTGATTGAATGATGATAGTTGCAGAGTCCCGCTGTTTCAAAGTAACTGGGTCCGAACACTATTCGGATTAGCGGGAATTCAGAATAAGCTGATTTCTGTGATAATTGATCATCTCGATTATGGGTGGTTTTCACAGTTTTCTCACAATCACAGATTTTTTACAAAGATCTGCGACTGCGGAAAATGTTTACATTTTTTCTGTGAAAGTGGAAGCTGCTCTCGTTTCTGGTGTGACAGAAAAACGTTCTCAATTTCATGTTAGCTTCGTACTAATGTTTTAAAAAATTATAATAATATCCAAACTTTAGTTTGGAATAGGCAGATATTGGGGCTCTATTGTATTTTTCAACCCTCAAATTCATCCACAAGCATTGAGCTATGAAGACACACCTTACATTTCATCCATAATACCATTGATAAAATTGTATACTATTGAATTTTAACTTCGTTTGCATAGACAACTTCTTTTCAAATCTTGAGTCAGAGTAAGATATACAACAATATGTTAGACAGATATTTTAGTTGTTGAGTGAACATAAAAAGATACAAGACACAAAATGTTGTTAAAAATCTAGTAAATCTATGATAAATAATAAAAAAAAACAATGTGTTACCAGTTAAGTTGTGTTTTTTATTATCTGAGTTCCTCAAATTAAAGATTTCAATATAGCTTACTGTAGTAAATGTGGTTCAAGAAAACACGTTTTAATGTTTCAGTGAGCTGCAGACCCAGCATCACAGTCTGGGCAGTGTGTGTATCTTGGTAGCGGGGGTGAGAGAGGCGGGGGCAGGGGAGGTGGTAGTCACTGTACCCCCCGCACCTCCTGGCCAGGACACCTTCCCTCCACAGTGGGACCACGTGATAGCATCACTCAAGGGACCTGGTGAGTAGTTAAGTGATTGTATTGTGTGTGTATGTGTATCCTGGTAGCGGGGGTGAGAGAGGCGGGGGCAGGGGAGGTAACACTGATATTTTGTCGTATAATCATGGAAAATTGATTCCTCTTCAATCCTCTCTCTGAAGAAGTCCTATATTTAAAATATTTGTGTTTACATTTTGGGGATTTTTTTGTCTCCATTAGCTTCAAGGACTACAAGCAATCTGAACATTCCTTTTCAAAATTTCCTTATCAGCCCCATGACTTTCCTTTATATAATCTAGTACAAATTTTGTAATTGTGTAAAATATAATACACCTAATTAACTTAACTATTTAGCTTGATTAACACATGATTGTGTTGTTTCAGAGGTGTTGGCCAGTCTACAAGAGTTGGACCAGATGAGTGTGCGCCGGCCGGCGTTGCTGGCACCCGCAGTGGCAGTGCTGGGTGAGCTGATCACTGCGCCGGGCAGCAACGTGCGTGCTCTCGCCCACGGTCTGCTGGCACGGCACCTACGGTATGCGCCACACACGGCACTGCAGTTGATGCCAGCGTATCTCACGGCACTACAGAGCGGACAGGTGGAGGTGGTCAGCTCAGTTCTGGACAGACTACATGAGGTGGTTGTCTGCTCACAAGGTGCGTAGATTAATAAACTGTCTTTTGAAAACACTCAACTCCTTAAACCCTGAAGGCCAATACATCACCCACCGAGAGTAACACCAATACTTCACTTACTCACTATCTATGCAAACATAAAAAATAGTTGGATGCTGTTCTTGACATGCTTGTTATTAAGCTGAAAAAAGTGGTGGGGGATCCAGGAAACCTTCCCCTTAAACCGACTAATTGTTTTGAACGAACTATTAGTGACAAAAGTGGACCCCTCATCCAAAGTACAAACTGTTTGATACTATGTAGATCCGTATTCATATTCCATTCAATTTACCGTCTTGATTGATTTCTTGCGATCAAATCTAACTTTGATAGTTAAGGGGTGGTGCAGGCAATTTTCTTTAGATATGAGATTCGAGTAATCAAAATTTGATTCTACAAACCAGCTGAATGAATCTCAAATTCAAAACTTTTTAAGATTTGAGATTCATTTAACTCATTATAATTGCAATGAACTGTTAGTAACAAGTAGATTTTATTGTTACAGAAGTAGCAGTTCCTCTACTAGAGACAGTGTTCAGCCTAGGATTGACTCACAACATGAACACACTACAATGTATCACCAAGTCTTTGGCTCTACTTAACCTACAGACTGGCTGTTGAATATCTGTAAATTAGTATTTTTTTTAAACGAGGAAGACTGCATTCATTTGTTCAGATAGAAATATCAGTTTTTATAATTTTTCTCAATTGTAGGTATATTCTTAAGTTTTTCCAAAGTAACGTTATTTGAAATGTATGTTGTAAATATGTAATTATTTTAGAATAAATGTATATAATTTAAAACTGTCTCATTTTTCCAGGTGAAATTTCATCACTGTCTTAGTTGTTTAATATTTGTTCATGGTTTTAATAATTTATATGATTTTTACGATAAATATCATCATTGATTCCACACCTTTGAAACGTATATGTAGCTTCTACTAAATTGACAAATATATAATGTAAAGAGGAATAGGTGTACAACTATCTAGACTTAGAAAATCCTTCCTGGTAGTTAATAGAACTCAAAATATCTACAGTACAACTAATGAACTAAATGTGCTGCCTGTCCACAAGCCTTTTTGAAAAAAAAATAGTAGAACTATTACTCTTACCACCTCAACTGCTTAGTGACATGTTTATCCATTCCTTGTTTCTTTATATTCCTGATCAAAGTGTTTTTTTCCTCCAAAAAACTTATTTCTGACTAAAAAGTTCATGTGCAAAGTACTAACAGGTTTTATATGAACATTAAGTTATCAACAAACGAATTTAATAGTATTTTATATTCTTATTATATTCTCTCTTGTTAAAATTATTTTTAACCATCCAAACTAATTTTTGGAAAGCACAGATTTTCAGACACTGTCTTCGGTTCCAAAACTTATCAGCTGTTTTTGTTTGCCACCAGATTAAGATTTATTTGCAATCTTATTTACATTGGATGACAAACTTAGTTGCTTGTTCACTACCAGTTTGAGATGGAATCATCGTAATAACGTCTCTTTGTGACTAAACAACAGCAATTAGACCAATGGATGGGTTTCCTGTGTCTACTCCTACAAGTTCCTGTAATTGAGAGTCTAGTCTCAGTTGTGGCTCAAATGGCGCCGACTTTCGTCTTCTTTGGGGCTCTCCTCGTCGCTACCTGTGCCGAAGAGATTAGTAAGTTTCTCCTTATGTAAACTTACATGGATTCGTTTTGTATTAAACATAGTTTTTTAGTGTTTGCACATTTTTTTCAGTGGAAAATGTTCAAATTAGATTAATTGCTTGGAAGTCAATTAATTGGAAATTTATTTTTCTAACATTTGTCTAACACTAATTCAAGACTTTTCACATATTCCTTGGATTTAATATAAACATTGTGTGAGTTACAATGTAGTACTGGTATTTGTCCTTTGTAAGATTTCCCTGCGCTCTTTGAAATTTTCACCATTGTAAAGTAAAATAAACTATTATCATAGTTTTCATGGTAAGGCCATATTTTATCCAAAGGTGAAATAACAAAAAAATAAAACAAATTCCTTGATAACTATGAAATTTGGATCAAGTCTGATCCGACTGTTTAGGGTTTTAGGGATTTTATGTTTCTCAAAAGAGCTTTTAGAATATAAATCCAATATGCTCGACATTGAAACAATTTTTTGTTTAAAATTCATAACCTTACAAAGGTAAATAATGAAGTAAACTACATTAAACAAACTACATACATACATTGAACATTAAACTAAATAGGTACATAATTAGTGGTTTGATATAATGTTTTGTTGATATGTTTGCCCTCATCCCTCTGTAGACATAAATCTAATAGACATGTTCTTTACTGAGATATTAAAATCACCAAACAAACAATTCTTTATTGATTAGTAAGTTAATTTTAGAAGTTTGCATATAGCTAGCATAAAATTTCTAGTAGGCCTACATTGAGCGAAAGAATTACACAGGACTACTAAGTATGGATTTAAGCACAGTTTTTCTCTCTTATGAACCTGTTGAATGAAACAAAGGAGCCACTATAGATTTGATCAGGCTGCATCTTCACTTCAACAGTAGAGAAAATATTTGAAGATTATTCTTGCTTGGTTTGTCGAAGGTCATCATTGTTTGCTATCAATTAAGTCCAAACTATACAAGGTAATTCGTCTTTGAAATACTTAGGACTTTCAATATTTTTTAGTCAACTTGATCCAACAAGTTTTCATTGCTTAAACAATCTCTCTACAAAAACCTAATACTTCAAGCAATAATTAATTTTTTTCAACAACACTCTTATTACGTAATGATTTTACCTAAGTGGTTTAAGAGTACAAAAATTCAAATCATACGCCTCTGACGGAATACATTTATATATTGACTAACCTTCTAATCTGCGACCGCAAATAGGGATCAAAGTGCAGCCAAGCCCTCCTGATGAAAGAGACAGCTTGATCTGGTTCAACAAAACTAGCTTTGACTCTTGGAGCAACCAACTAGACAACTTCATTGAAGGTAAGCTTACGGTAATAGCAATGAACATATGGATATTGGGCTATGTGATGTAAGCTGTAGCCACAATGAAATAAAAGTTGCCCAAAAAACACCTAACTAAACCTAGAACAACTTTTTAAATTATCATACCACTTATCGATATGTACTAATTATAAACAATGCTCAAGGTTAAAGAATATGAAATATTCCTTAAATAATGGGTGAAATTTAAACAAATATTACTTGAGAAAGAGCTTATTGAGCCCTTTCCCATTTGAATGGGGGATTTCATCCAACAATATTTGAGGAGCAGAGGGGATGAAAAATATGTCTCTCGTTATGAACATCAAAATATTTTTTTTTATTTCATTGTTATTTTTTGGATTACTCAATTAACTATGAGGTACAAAGACTAAAGCGATGGCTGTAACCTCCTCTTCTCGATCCTCCGCTATCCCTCCCTTGTATACAATGCACAAATACTGTAGTAAAACAATATTTTGACAAAACCTTAAAGTTAAATATTTAAATTCTCAAAAGAAAAAGATTTTGGAACTCCATGTTGCTGTTTTCCTCTTCGAATTGGGGCATTCATTTTGAGAGGGTTAGTTATCTGTTGAGAAGGGCTGAAATGATGTCCCATTATATAACATTCAAATGTTGTTCTTCTTCAAGCTTTTTTTATACACTAACTGAGTTGAACTAAAATTTTTCCCATCCCTTTTGTCGCAGTGTACCGCAACCCTGAGTTGACTGCTGGACGACCCGAGGCAGAAGTCAGCTGTGACTGGGGCTCCCCTCCTCCCCCAGGAAAGGTTTGCCACATCAACCCTGAGACTTTCGCTCCATGTGTCACCACCAACTACTTCGGCTACAGACGTCTCGCCCCTTGCATCTTCCTGCAGTTCTTCCCTGTGAGTTTTTATTTCCTGCTATAAACCCTTTATTATTTATTATTACAATTTTTAAGCTTTTGTAAGGGAACAGTATTTAAACCAACGGTCTTGTTCTTGTTTCTATATCTACTTTTGTTAAAATCATCAATATGGGACCTTATCATGTTAAAATCTTAAACAATGACCTCAGTAAATGAAAACGACCTGTATCTAGTAAATTACTATATACTAGTACATCACTACAGGGTGTTGTATGACGGGTTTCTGCCATCACCTTAACAATAGTGTAAAAGCTCTCATGCTCTTCTTTACTACACTACTAAAAAAACTACCTGTACAGTTTATAACCCTACAGCGGAAACCATATAGTGTAAAAGGAGCGTCAGGTCTATTATTCTTGAAAAAAAATTTCAAAACTTGCATTAAGCCTTGAAGTGTGTTTTCATATCACTCCACTGTGACAAAAGGTGGGTTAAACCATAGACAAATAGAATAAATATAGACCGTCAGCAGTGCTGCGGTTAGCATATGTTCCGGCGCCCACCACTAGGAGTGCCGTGTAGTTACGGCGCACACCGCTGCAGGCGAGGAGCGCAGGAGCCATATGCTACCAGCAGATGCTACAATGTGGCACATCGTGGAAACTTCCTTTGACAGTATATATTTTATTCTATTTGTCTATGGTTAAACATTTATTCAAGACAACACTAAAACATAGCAAAAGAAACCTAACATACTTTTACTTTATAGGAAAAGGGATGGAGACCAAAGTTCTATGGAGATTTGAAGACACTCCCGACATCGATGCCGAGGAATTTGAAAAACTACATCATAGATAAATCTGTGGAACCTTACACTGTAAGCTTATGTGTAGTTCAAAATGTTTAATGCATGAATTGGCTTTATCAACTATTTAAGAGAGTTTTCCTGTTTCAAAGCTCTAATACACAGTTTTTCTTATCTTGGTGGTTTTTTACAAGAAACTAACTAAGGCCTGTCATTCAGCTGGATTTAGTAATAAGCACCTCTTTTACTCTCATCGTTCATCAATGTTTCGAAGACGGGACATCTATATGGACTAGCTGTAGCCAACCTTGGTTCAAATAGAACATTATGAATGATCCGTTCACAGACTGTGCTATAGTTCAAATTGAATTTTCTTCCTTAGTTTTTGATAACAATATGATAACTGATATAACATAACAGATGCAGTAGTTTACGATAAGCTGTTCTTTCAGTTTTGCTTGGTCTAAAAGTTGGTGTATTCATATTCGTAAATAATTAGTGATTGATATCAGTGTTGAAGCAAAAGTATTATTTGTTACAGTGTATATTCGGAGCTAGTAACAAGTAGTATTCTAATACAGTAGTTACCAATTGATAATTTGTTCACATGTAGTTCTAACAAGAGATGTTTTCCGCAGTGGGAGACAGTATGGGTGTCGTGTGACGGAGAGAACCCAGCAGACAAGGAGTTGATTGGTCCAGTGAGGTACATCCCTGGCCCTGGCGTGCCTGCTTACCACTTCCCCTACACTGGGCAGAAGGGGTACTTACCCCCACTGGTGGCTGTGCAGTTTGAAATGCCACAAAGTTAGTAGGCCTAGTCATGGAATAATTTAGACTTTATTTTTTGGAAAATATTTAAAAATCTATACCCCATTCTATATTAGTACATGTAGTACTGGGAGTCCATATGCCAAGCATTTCAAGACCTTTCATTCAAGTATGCGATTGATTTGCGGCTCATGGTTTTCTCAAAAGTTTGTGAGAATTATTAGCTTTACTAGCCCTTATTAGCTTAAGTACTAGTTGTTTTGCCCGAGCCTTGCCAAGGGAAGAGAACACAGAGAAGATATGGTGATTCTTTGCCGCCTTGTCCAATGCAAACTGTTCTTAATGAAAATTAATTTTATCAATGTCCAAGTCACAAGGAAAAATACTCCACAGATGTGTTTTTCCCCTGTTGGAACACACAAGGCTCTGTCCAAACTCCTATGGTTCTTGTGTCACTAAAATATATAGGTACACAACATTTCTCTGCAACATCAGTTGCTGTGTTTCAAAACATACTGAACTAATAAGTAAACAATTGAAACCTAATTCAAAGGTTTGAACATGATCCCACGTTATAAGAAAAACGTACTGTCACTCCTCTTTATGCAATATAGAAATCTATGGTAGAATCAAAAGGTTAACTCAAAAGGAATAGTTAACATACTCGTATAAATAAATAGATACAAACCAAGTAGGGCCTAAATCAAAATAACGTAACCATGTAAATATCACACAGCAAATATAGATGTTCTTAGTTGTATTAACAAAGGAGCACAAGCTACAAGCTTTACAAGCTACTATGGTGGCATTAGAATCAAATATCAAATTGCTTACATTGAGAATGTCTTCCTAATTTTAATATTTGTTTCAGCTGGTATCGTAATCAGTATAGAATGCAAGACTTGGGCTGCGAACATCAAGCCACACAAGGATAAACTCATCGGAACTGTTAAGTTCCAGCTGATGATTGATGTTTAATTATCAGAAATGTTTTTTCCAGCTGATGATTATTGTCTAACAATCATCAGGAACATCAAGCTATTGAAGAATAATTCATTAATGTTCAATAAAGTTTTGATTGATAATAAGCATCTTTATCTTTAGAGTTTTTTTAACTACCCCACGATGAATACTAATCGTCAGCACATTATATTGATTTGAATAAATAAACAAATGCTATGGTGTTTTTTGTCCTTTAACAATTAGTCTAACTGCAAAATAAAATAATTGTTTATAAGTTTTTAAGTTGAATTTCATGATTATGGTCACTGAATCTTTAGAATAAACAAATGTATTTTTAATCCGCTGCTGATACTAGATTTAAAACCCTCATACATCAATATTTATCGATTCCTTGTAGTCTATTTTTTTACAGCTCTCCTTGAATAAAAAGTGGAGCACATCTTCAGTTTAAAAAATGTCCAGCTAGTTTTGGTAAGACAAAACAGTCGTAGTTAAATTTATTAAATTACATCAGATTTATCTAACAGTAAAACAGGTACTGTAAAATTAACGTTCTTTTTTTAATATCCATACTTCTGCAGTTTTTATATTACATACAATGCATCTATTATATTATTAAAGTGATACAATCAAATTTTATGTAAATAGATAAGGCCATTTACCAAATCAAAACATAGGCATATGGCATATCAAAATGAAGCTTAGAGTGTGTAGATTTTCCGAAAAGTACTGATATGGACGAACTCCCTAAGGGCTCTGCCCCACAGGCTGATTTCCAAAGGGCTTCGCCTTGCATGTTTTATAAGTTAACGTTATTCGATTAATTTAGTGAACAACAGCTGGCCAATGCAATTGACAATATAGTTTGTTTGTTTACACTTTTGTTTACTTTTTTATTATTTACTTTTATGTTATTAAAAGAGGTGCGGTGAATGGTCAGTGAAGCTATTTCTAGCTGTTTGATACAAGTGAGTGCTTTAAGGTGTTCGAAACAAGATGAATATGATATTAAAAACCATGTATGTTATTCGTTCCAAGAGGTTGTCGCAGATCTTTAACAGGTCGCCATTTCATTGAAGAATATTAAAGTAAAGTACTAAAGTATTAAAGACGTCGTGAAAGAGAGCGGTGAGTTCAGGTACAACCGGACCCACCTCGGCCACCTCAGGACGTAAGGTATGAAGGTTCCACTGCTTAACATCCTTCAATTTCACAAACTTGGGCCCCTTAAATGAAATATAAAGTAAAAGTTGATTAAATTAATTTAATGGTGGTTTCTGTACACCCGTGAATTTGCGGGTAGAACCTCTTGTTATTTTATATTTTTTGTCTTATCTATAAGTATAAAAGAGGATGTTTGTATATATATTTGTTTGTTTGTTTGTTTGGGGGTGATAAACTCGGACACCGCTGAACCGATTGCCACGAAACTTGGTACATACGTGTAGAATGTCATGGAATAGGTTTATACACCATCAATTTCGTGATCCGTCCAATAGGCTCCGCCCCAGTGGCTCTGGAGTTTCCCATGTTAACCTTATGAGAAATGGAATTAATGAATCTTAACAGCTGTTTCAATTAAACAAGTTGGTTCTGTTCTATGATGTTCAATAGCATTAAAGTTACAAGGATTACCAACAGGGTGCAGCACTATTATTTCTTTTACATTTATGACAACAGCTAATTTGCAACCAAAAAGGTGAGTGAGCGTAGCGAACGAGCTAACCTGAAGGCAAGTGAGCGTAGCGAACGAGCTAACCTGAAGGCAAGTGAGCGCAGCGAACGAGCTCCAACCTAAAGGTGAGTGAGCGTAGCGAACGAGCTCCAACCTAAAGGTGAGTGAGCGTAGCGAACGAACTTCAACCAGGACGTGATTGAGCCATGCGAACGAGATCATCTTGAAAATTAAGAAGTTAAACGGGGCAAAGCCCGCGGGTTACAGCTAGTACCAAATATAATTGGGCCTATACCAGTGAAAAGTGTAAATACCATATGTGGTGCATATAGAAAAATTCGTTTTGCTATAAATCTTGAACCATTTAGATTCAAACAAAATATATTTATTAAACAGATAAAAGACGAAGGAAATTTTATTAGAGAGTATAACCATTGATATAACTAACCGTAGTATGAAAGACCTGGGAAATGCCAGGCGTTAACAAAAAGGTTAACGCTAAATGCCACACCCTCCTGTTTGATGTAAAAGTGAAATCATTTCTTGGATATTAGCAAAAACAGTTTATTAAAGTAGGCCTAAATAACTTAAATCTGGAGTGCCAAAGTGTATTTATGGGTGACAATGATTTAAGACTTGGGGTTTTCATACATAAAATTTAGTTTATTTTGGTAACAGTCTTTTCAGACATTTTCTTTAGATGTCTGAGTGTCATTCACTGCTAGTTTTCTTGCACATTCTTGAACTATTGATTCAAGTTTTGCAAATTACAAAACATGAGTTTTTTAGTAGTCGTAATTTTTCTAACTAGGCCTTACAAGATTGTGAAAATAAATTGAATTTTGTGTTAGAAAATAATAACAACAACAATCAGCAGATAACAATGAAACTTCATTCTTTGCTCTATCCAATGCCATGTAAATCATACTCAGACAATTTCATTGTTTTATTTGTATTAAAGATATAAAATATACATAGGTAATGTACGTAAATCAAAAGAACCAAATTTTCTTAAACCGTGTCCTATTCCATTGCAAACGTAAAGCACGAGTATAACTGCAATAAGCATTTCATATGCATACGCCAACCCGTTACGAAGAACGGGTACTCTGCTAGTATATTATAATTTCTAAAGTTATTTTTTTTCGGTAGACCATAACTTCTTTATTTCTTCACGAATTTTCAAAAATTAGGTGTAATTTTAAAGCTTGTTTAACCCACTACCCGGAGGAATTATGCAAATCACTACTTTTTCAGAAGTTCTTAAAAAAACTATCTATTTTATCATTCTGCAAGTAATTTAGGCTTGACATGTTTATTTACAGTATTATTATTCTTTTTTTACTTTACTTAATTTACAATCTGTTCAAAGTTGAACACTTGATCACCTGAAACGTGTGAATTAAATTTATCAAAACAAACAAATAATTACTGTACTTACTAAATCTGAGTGATTTGTTTTACTTAGTCTGTGTTTTCTACGATAAATAAGTTGAAATATTTCATTGATATAGAAGTCTAAACAAGACCAACTCAAAAGTAAGTACCGCATTCATTCTTTAGCTTTCATATTTCTTTATTTATGACATAACCTTCATTTTGACATACCTACCAACCAAGGAGTATGTCTACCAACCATTCATGTATATTTAAGAATTCCATTTTCAAACATGACCTCTAACTTTTCTTTATTATAAATGTCAAATGAATGTTTATGTTTTATCGTAAGTATTTGTTACCAACAGGAAGGTTTATATCAGTTTTGATGCGGTTCATTACCAAAGAGACGTAGATAGAACGCTATGCTGTAGCCATATTAAAGTTGTTTAACTCATTAGCCCCTTTAGTTTCGTCATCTCGTAAACACATGCTGAAAAGAAAAGACCTAACTATTATCATGTTGATGAGAAAAGTAAGTAGGGTCCAGGATTGGTTGTGGCGCGTGGGCACCAATCAAAGAGAAGTTGGCTGACTCCGGTCAAACTGTCATGCTACGCTATAGTCCATAATCCTTTCAAACTGGCTAAGAAAGAATATCCTATAAAATCTACGTTTGCCATGACTTTAAATAAAGCACATAGACGGACGCTAACGAAGGAAGGATTGTACGTGCCAGACCCCGTTTTTTACACATTCAGTTTGTGTGGGTTTGTCAGTGAAAACTATGTCTAAGTTATCAAAACAAGTCATCAAAACAAAAATCGTATATGGCAATATTATTATTTAAAATATAGTGTTCATAGAGGCCATGTAAACGCATGTAAAACGGAAATAGCTTAACATTATATTGAAAATGTTAATTATCTAAAATGTTAACCGACGTTCTATTCGTGAAGTAAGGACTCAGATACTTAAATCAACGATGGATTTACTACGCCCTGTATCTTGTGTATTTCAATAAGTGGGATTTGAGAAGGATTCAGTGCGAATGCTTCGCACGGGTCTAGTGTAAAATTTACTCTTAAAAAACCTCCAATGAGAAATCCAGACGATATCAGCACACTCTCGTGTAATCCGGTATGAAACAAGCTACCGATATTGCAATAGGATTACTTGCAGTATCCAAAGTCAATAGTATCACTGCTACCTATATTAATGAGCTAGAGTTGTATAGCTTCATTGTTGTCGTGACTATGTAATCAACCTATCGCGTATTCCGTGGAAATAGTCAACAATATGTTGACTCTCAGTCTAGTCCTCACCAGTTCAGTCTTAACCAAAGACAAACAAATCGTGATCCATCAAATAGGTTTGGCACGAATAGAATACTTTTTGCACTGTAGACCAGAGTACTATGAAAATGTATTACCTTTTTAAGGCCCTAATTGATGTATTCGCAAATAAAATAATTACCATGTTCAATTAAAATTCCAAACAAACATATTATATTGCCTATTGCCATAGTCATTTATTTCCACTTCGAATCCAATGAAAGGCCGTAGAATAGGCTAGTTATTTTGCGTGATAATTCATACCATGTAGGTGTCCCAATATACAGAGACAGTTTAGGCTATAAACTAACCGTCCAAGTGATGGGGAATCAGTTAACTTAAAAACACAACACCTAAACGGACTCGGGTATTTATACTGTATTATTACACTATATTACAAACGGAATAGTCTTACAGCTTGTCAGAAGAGTGAAGATCATTCTCGACATAGTTTTAGTTTTTGTATAATATGAAACCATTGGCATTTTCATACAGATTGAAAATTAACGTAGCCTTCTATCTGTGTAAAATTACTCAAACAAATTGTGACCACCCTTTCAGAAAAAAATTAAAATCCGTCTTCCTCTCTATCCCAAGACATGTTTTCTTTTATTTCGAAGCACTCCCTCCATGCTATCTGGTTTAAAGAGGTGACGCACGAGAATGGTAGGCGTGGTTGGCAGTTTAATTAGGATTCCATTAACAGACTATAATTTTGTTGCTTCCCAAACATTATCAC